CTCATTCTGCATCCTATGAAACAAAGTCTTAGGGTGGTCCAGCTTGGCTTGTCAGATGTTTGGGGCATGGAGGTGACCCATAGACTTCAGGTTTCATGGACAGGGTAGCGAAAAAATGGGATACAGGCACCTGTGATGTCAAGGTTAATCATTCTGTTTTATAAAGTGTATAACCGCCTACTCTGTGCAGGGTCCTGTGTTCAGGGCACAGATGAATGAGTCACATTTTCAGTCCTCAGGGAGCTTAACCATCTCGGGGGAGATACGAAATGCGCACAAGTGACTGACTTAGCAGAATGATCAGTGTGTGTGTGTGTGTGTGTGTGTGTGTGTGTGTGTGTGTGTGTGTGTGTGTGTGTGTGTAAGAAGTACAAACCAGTAGCTATGAGCACTGTATGCTGGGAGTGAGCCCTGCCAGGTGGGAGGGTCTGAGAGCCGGCAGCACCAAGCTGAGCCCTGCCCAGGAGAATGTTGAAACTCATGACTGGGTGTACAGAACAGTTCAGGAAAAGGATTGATCAGCACGGGCAGCAGAAAAAGGCAGAATAAATGTTAAGGACACCAGGTAAGTCAGACATGAGAGGCCTTGAATGCCAAGTTTGGGCAAATGGACTTCTCGAAAAGGCTTTTCCAAAGGGGAAGTGATCATCAGATTTTACGTGTGCGTTAGGATGATCAACACGGCAGTAGGTGCTAGGTGAAGCTCCAGCATGGAGTGCTTGTATAGCACACACGTGAACAGTTCTGGTTCTAGAATAGGAGAACCAAGGCGATTTCTGTCATACGGTGTGGGTGTGTGGCCGAACCTACCAGGCAAATGGGCCAAGCAAGGGAATGTTTTATTAAATGTGCAGCCAACAAAGTTGGAGGGAAAGCTAGCACATTGGAGAGCCCTGACTGGACCACCCTGGAGGCCCTAAAAGGAAATCTACAGACCAGAACACTGGGCCAATCAAGTAAGAGATTGAGTAAGAATAAATGCAAAGTTCAAAGAATCAGCTTCCAAGCATGAGACAAAGATGTGGCTGGACAGAAATGTAATCTGAGAAAGCTCGGGACTGGGGACCAGGGGTTCAGTGGGGTCCAGGTTCCACAGAAGTCAATAGCGAGATATGACAACCAAGCAAGGCTACGCTGAGAAGCCGCCTGCCGAGGACCTGTGAGTTCTTGAAGGTGGGCACTGCGGTTTTTCATTTTGTACCCGCAGGGTTAGCACAGGGCCCTGCACAGCAAGCTGGTTTGAGTGGTTGAATTCAGCCCCGATGAGGCCACACCTGGAGTACTATGCTGTGTGTTCTAGGAGCCACATTTTCATCAAGCTGGTAATGGGCTTCCAAGTATTTTGGGGGGGCAGTCAGGTTGGTGCAAGAATTCAGGTCAATGTCACGAGGGTTAGTTATCTGGAGGAGCTATAGACATCAGTCCCAGAAAAAAAGAAGACTGATGGAGTCGGGATAGGGTGGGGGGCCACACACCAGTCAGCGAACACTAAGTGCTTGCTTTGTGCTCAGCACAGAGGAATTCACATTCTAATGGTGGAAACTGTGTGTACGTAGATACATACATAATGTACCGAGTGGAGAAGGCATTAATTAGCTGGGAGAACCAGGAGAGGCCTGAAGGAAGTGTGGTTCAAGCCGAGTCTTTGGGGTGGCAGAGCATTCCAGGCATGGAGAACCAGTGCAAATGGAGAGACTGGAACCCAGAGCAAAGTCTAGGAAGACTGAAAGGTTGGCAGGGCCCAGCTTAGTTTTGAAGGCCAAGCTATTCCCTTGGAGGCCACGGGGAGCCGCAGGAGCTCAATGAGCACGTCTCAGGAATGGTACCCTGAGACTAGGCTTTAGAAAAATCACCGTGGCAGACGACCGGAGACAGATTGTAGTGGGGAAGGCAGGGAGGCCGGGCAGGAACGCGACTGCAAGCCGTCCAGGCACAAGGTGACGAGGGACCGCACTATGGTGGTTCTGTTAGAGGAGAGATGGGGACAAACATGAGGTGGGAAATGACAAGCCTTGACAATACACGGCTATATGGGGGGTGGGGTGAGGAACAGAGGATGACACCAAGGTTGAGGGCTGGCTGGCTGACTGGAAGAGAGGAGGGCTGAATGGGGGAAAGATCAATGAGCTCAGTTTGGACACGTAGACTTTGGGATGTCTCTGGGACACCCAGATCGAGATGTCCAAGAGGCGGCTGGGGACTGATGAGTGGAGCTCAGGCAGGAGAGAGGTTAGGGCTGGATATATCTGGCCGTCCTCTGCAGAGATAATGGAGCCAGTAGGATCTGACAAAATCGCTGAGATTGTTTAAAGTGAAAAGAGAAGGGGGCCTGGGACAGAGCTCTGGGGGACACCCACAGTTAATAGGAATAACCCGGAGAAACGGAAGCTAACTGAAGGCAGGAGAAGCAGGCGAGAGCGAGAAGGATGTGGGCACCCAGGAGGGGATCAGCAGTGCCAAGTGCTACAGAGAGGTCAACAAGGATGAGGACAGCCGAGAGAAAAGGACCCAGCTTTGGCCATCCAGAGAGCCTCCATTTCAGCTGAATGATGAGGTCAGCAGCCAGACTGCAGAGATGTAGAGCTGAGTGAAAGGAAGGGAAGGGAAGACCCCAGGGGGAGAGAGCTTTCTCAAGCAGTTTAGCAAGAAGGGAAGAGAGAGAGAGGACAAAAGCTAGACAGATGGTAGGATTAAGTAAGTGAGGGTTCCTTACATGGGGATGTTCATAGACTGTAGAGAAGGAGCTGCTTTATAAGGAGAGACTGAAGATGGGAGAGGGCAGGGGTGATAGAGGGCAATGCTGGAGAGGACGGGATGTAATGGATTACTGGTGTGTGTGAAGGGGCTTAGCCTAGGCAAGGAGCAGGACCACCTCTTCGTGGGACACTAGAAGGAAGGAAATAGGGCAGAGATGTCTGAGTCATGTTAGGTGGAGGGGGCAAAAGGGAGACTTTCTACAAATGGTCTGTCGTGGTCAAAGAACTAAGCCTTTTTCTCTTTGGTCCCAAAATGTAGAACTGTGCGCAATGGATTGAATTTGCAAAAAGGCAGACTTAGGGTTGATGTATGGCAAAAATCCTATTGTTGTAACTGCCTGGAGAGGCGAGCGCTGGCTGGCGGCTTCTGCAGGGGAGGGGGCTGCTGGCACTGGTCTGCGTTGGCTAGCTGGCCTCCAAGGGCTCGTCCAGCTCAGCAATGGTGATGCCACTCACCCAACACTGAACAGGTAGAGCAAGAGCTTTTACAAGGCTCTTGGGTCAGTTCTCAGGTCTCAGTAAAGCCGGGGGGGGGCACCAGGGCACAACAGGGCCTCTGTGGTCACCAGACTGGCCTGGCAGAAGCAGGCATTCGTAGAGACCCTGAAAAGATCACCCAGTCCACCCTGCTGAATTTACAGATGAGAACGCTGAGGCCAGAAGCCAAAGGATGAAGAGAGAGTGAGAACTGGGACTGAACCCAGGACTGCGCTGCTACCTGTACAACAAGAGCCTCCCTCCTCATGGTTACATCAGGTCAGTCCAGTTTTTAATCCGAATTAGGAAGACCATTAAGGTCCAAATGATGTAACACAAACCCTGTGTTTTTTGCCTTTAGCCTGATACCAGTACTGTACAAGAGGCTTGGTTTCCCCTTTTTGGTCGACTGCCTCTGTGTTAACACTGCCTTTAACAAAAAGCAGACTGAGTAAGCCAGGTTCTTCCTACCTCCTAGGTTAGGTCAGATGCGTTATACATTCAGGCCAGAGCAATATATTCTGGTCCGAGAGGATACGCAGGTAGCGGGGCACAATGGATGACAGTATTCAATTTGGAGTCAGGAAGATCTGAATTCAAATCCTGCCTCAGGTGCTAGCTGCAAGTCATTTGACAGTAACGGCATCGCCCTTCCAGGGACCCATGCAAAGTGCCTTGCAAACTTTCAAAGCGCTATAGAACTGCTACTTCTGCTATTATCCTATGCGGATATCTCTTAGGAAAGTTATTTAGGGACAATAATGATGGTACCTCCCTTCCTTTCCCTGAAATGCTTGGGTTTTTGCAGGGATGAATCAGGTTCTTTGCACCCCGAATCTTTTGAGTTACTTAGGGTGCCAGGGTTGACATTCCAGGTGCCAAGGACAGAGGAGAAAACCTGTGAGGCATCATGGTGCAATGGGAAGAAGGCTGCATTGTATCCAAGGCCCTGGGTTCAAATATCAGGTGAGTCTGTTTTTTACACCCTGTAAAAAGAAGGGTTTGGACTAGCAGTCTCTAAGGCCCTTCCGACTCCAAGTCTGTAATCCTACGATGACGATGAGAGAGAGGACACTTTGGCCCAGCACTCCAAGGTCTTCCAGCTGCTTGCCTCACTCCCCTCAAGCATCTTACGCTACCTATCTATATCATCAGAGACACAGCCTGGCCTGGTGGGTAGCCTCGGGAACACCTGGGCTCCAGTCCTGGCTCGTGGGGGATCCTGGCTCAGTCCTGCATCACCTCCAGGGCCCCAGGCAGCTCTCTACGCACCTGAGCATTCAGCACTAACCACCCCCAAATCACCAGAGAGAATCTTGCATCCCAGCGTGTAACTGGTGTTGGCTGTGGGGCGCGAGGGCATGCCTCCTCCCAAGACTGAAGCACGGAAACAGAAGAGGACACGGCTCCGCAGAGGTGACATGAGTAACGGCAGAGTGAGGTCGGAACTCAGGCCCTCCAACTCCAAACCTACCGTTTGCCCAGTCTCTCCATAAAGCCAAGCGCAAAGCTTAGCCTGCCTGTTGTTTTTAGGCCTATTTTTTTTCCCTTCAAAGATCTTGTGAGGGACTCCAGCACGGATTGTGAATGCAATCTGTCGACTGCCCCTTCTGTCATCTCCGCAGTGCGACTGGCCACGTCTGTGTGGCTCAAGAAGGAATCTACCGAAACAAGAACTTCTCCCAATACAGGTGACAAGAACTACTGCAGCGCTGTCCCTGTGAACTTTCAACAGGCAAGTACGGAGAAGAAAAAAACACGGACTCCTGCTGTTGCAATTTTGTTTTATTTTTTAAAAGTTTTTGGCACTACATGGTTCTGTAAAGAATAGAAGTGACAAATTTTAAAACACATGAAATCCCTTCCTAATTCTTATTTTTAAGAACAATATATATAAAGTCTGAAGCAACCAAAGTATGAATACAGCTAATAGAAAATAAAGAACTTAATTTTTTTTTTAAATTCTCTCTTTTTACAGTTCATCAAGGTAAAACAAAACACAAAAGTCCCTTAAAAATAGGGTAATAAAATAGATGAAATTTGTATCACTCATTTTGGTGATACTAGTAAAAACTATAGCTTGTATCTATATACAAATGATACACTTTAAAAACAGTCTTAAATTTAAATAATCTGTATCTAAACAAGTTGTGTTAAAATGTTAAATCCAGGACCTGATTTGCTTTGCTTTCCACGAAATGTCATTTCTTCTGCTGGATGTAGTTCAAGCTGAGGGACGGGTGCCCTTGAGACAGCAGAGGGAATCTCGGGTTGCTTGGCATCAGTGGGCCAGCTGCAAACCAACCAGAACAAAGCAGATTCATTTACATCACAGTGCATTTCCTCTGGGTGGGTGCCTGGGGACATGGCTACATCTGGGAGGACCAGGGGGCCTATCTGTCGGTCTGTTTGCTCCCTGAAGACCCCATAAATGACCTTTATCTGCTGTTACACTTCTTACTGATGTTATAAGAACAGGGGAAGAGGAAATGCATCACATTAACCTTCATTTCAATAAGACAAGGGTGTGGGGAGTGGAGGACGGGGAGAGGAGGTTCACAGGGACACACTTCTGATGGCCCCCCCAGAGCCCTATGCGACGGGAGTTTCTCCCAACCTAGGTGGAAAGACCCTTGTCACATGAGGGACTAGAGGGAAGGGTCAGGCTTCCCTCATCCCCAAGCTCAGTGCCCCTGGAGGTCCAGGGCAACCACATGAAGGAGCATGGTCTCCAGCTCCCTGCAGATAAGAGGACTTTTGGCTCCCTCTTCTAGAAGACTCCCCCTGGTGTGGGCAGAGACCTCTGACTGGAGAACGGCTGGCTGGGCAGTGAGGAAGGCTCTGGTGACGTGAACCATAGGACTTAAGTGTACCAAGGATCGAGTGAGACTTATGAATTGTCAAACCTGAAGCTCACAGCAGTGGGCATGCAGGGCACTATCCTTCTGATTGCCATAGTGAGGGTAGGAAATAGTTTCTCTGTTTCTCTAGAAAAGCCCCACACCAACTGAGGAATAAAGCCCAGACCTCCTATGTCGCCTGTAAGAACCAAGATGACTTTTAGGGGAAACAATAAAGCTGTCCCTCTAAATTCCTCTTAGCGGGGAGGCTCACCCCCCACGCATGGCAAACCCTCCACTGCCCTCCGGGCCCAGCACCCCCAGCCTGGCTCCCTGGAGGAATGGGCTCAAGAGCCACTCACAGGTTCCTACCTAAGACCCTGGTCTGCCCTACACAGACGCAGCAGCCCTGCCCGGCCAATGGCATGTGAGGAGTGGTACCTGGAGGGTAGAAAGCTTTGTTCGGCTGAAAGCTGGCGTTCCCCTGCTGGAGGAAGTTCTGAGGCACGCCACCGTAAGGCCACGACGCTTGGAGGATAGGGAAGTGGGCGGGGGCTCCGTGATCCCAAGGAATTGGAGGGGTCAGTTTTGCAAACTGTCCTTGAAAGCCCTGATCTGCTTTCCAAAGGGAAGGAAAAGACAGATGTGTCAGAACTCGGGGTCCAGCATCTCAGCAGTCTGAAGGCTGCCGTTGCCCTTTCTCAGATCCACAGAGAACGTGGAACCTCTCTACTTGCCCTAAAAATCCTAGCCTACGCTGCCCCTAACGTGGGCCATCCAGCATCCTAATCTCCTGGGGCAGCTCAGTCAACTGTTAGGTATCCCTCACTGTTAGAAATTTCCTCTTCACTTTGATCAAAATCTGTCTCTCTGGGGTCCTGAGATGGTCATAAGGAAAATGGTCGCCAAAGCCCTGGGTTCCAGCCCCGGCTCTACTGGAAATTCCGCTGTGGGACCCAAGACAAGTCACTCCATCTCTCCAGGTCACAATCTCTTCTTCTGCTACATGGGGGTGGGTGGGGGGAGAGCTTCAAAGATGCAGACTGAGGCTTGGGGTCAAAAAAAAAAAAGCTCTAAATAATCAGAGAGCCCAACAAAGCCGATTCGCCCTTTCCTCACAGCTCATCCAAGACTGATCGTCCTTATTTTTACAGATGAAGAAACCGAGACTCCCAGGCAGGTGAAGGGACCTGCCCATGGTGAGATGGGAGGCAGGCTGGGCTTCCTCAGGCCCTTGCAGGAAAGGGCTCTCCCTCATGCTGGATGACCCTTAGGGCTGAGAGGGAGGGGGAATTTCCCTGGAGGCCAAGCTCGGTGGGCTAGCGCTTGAACTCCCTGCAGACTGAACCCAAGCAGCCCTGTGTTCCAGACTCCCAGACATTCTGTGCCGCTCAAGCTTACTGGAGGCAGGAATCAGGCAGCGCTCAGCATTAGGATCCCCGCTTTTGAGGGTCTGTCCTGGGATTTCATCCATGAAGGGACTCCTCAGGGGGGCACATCTACCATCCATCTGCAATTCCCTCCCTCAGAGAGTGGCCTGGAGGACCACAAGACTCAGTGACCTGTCCAGGGGCCCCTACTATGAATGAGGATTGGAACTCAGGACTCCTGAATTCAATTCCTGTGCCTTCCCCACAACTTCAGGCTGCTCTCAAATCCCTAATATGATGTGAAGAAAAACCGACTTGGAGTGTATTTAACTCAGGGCTTTGGATGTTTGCTCTCCAAGTTATAACACATTTATCGAGTTTTGTCGTCTGAGGACCTCGTCTGACCAACACCACGACTCAATCAAGGACTTATTCTACAAACGTTCCCCAGACTCACAGCCTGGCCAAGGTCATCCAAACCCGATGCCCTCATTTTTCTTATGAGGAAACTGAGGCTCTGAGGGAAGGAGTGACTTGTACCCGGCCACCCAGTCAGCGAGGGCGGCTCCTGTGACTCCTGAACCCAGAGCCCCTGACGCCACACCACCAGACTGGCCGCTCTGACCGCGGCCCCAAAGCCAGACGGGGGAGGGAAGGGTTACCTGAGTTCCCCACCGCACCGTTGTTCACCAGTGAGCTTGGAGCCACAGGGCTGTGCCAGTGTCCCTCGTGAGAAGCGGGGATGCCCAGGGGGGGCCTGGCGGCGGGCTGTGCAAAGATGATGCTGGGGTCGTTCAGACTCACAGTGTTCTGGCCGTTGCCGGCGCCACTGCCACCAGACTGCATGGGAAAGGGGACGCCGGCGGGGTGGGCAGGGTTCCCTGGTGCCGAGTGGATCACGGGGCCGTGCATCGGCCAGGTAGTGCCTGGGAGAGGGATGGGGTGGGGGTGGGGGTGCACCTGCAGCAGTCCCAGGCTGTGCAGGGCAGAATACTGACCTGGGGGCGACTGGGGAAAGTTAAACAAAGGCAGTTGGACCTGATGTGGCGGCTGGGCCGCCGGTGGCGGGCCGTGCTTGGGCTGGGCTATGGGCTGTGGCGTGGCCTGGGCAAGAGAAGCTGGCTGAGGAGAGTTCTGGGGGAATGGCGGGGGCTGTGGAGAGTAAGATGACGGCTGTGAATCAGACTGCAGAGAAGAGAGAGAGTCCCCAGTTAGATCCGAGAGGTCCATCATGAGCACCCCCACACAGCACAGACCACGGGCCAGCCACAGACAGTTACGACTCTGGCGCTTCTCCCACCACGGCCATGTGAAGGGCGCCACCGACCGTACAGAAGGGGCCGCGAAGGCTCGGAGGAGTCACCCCAGGCGGGGGCCCCAGCAGCCTGCCGCCAACCGTGGGCAGATGCTGCCGGCCCTCGGCTCTCGAGGGAATCGCACTTACGCATTCAGAGGGCTGCCTGGTCCGTGAGGGCCGGTCGACTTGTTGCTGGACCGAGCCGGCTACTGCCGGGGCGCTGACGAGGCTGCGTACCAGCTGGGCACCTGAGGGAGAAACAGCACAGGGGCCTGAGCCGGTGACGACCAGACGGACACCTGGTACTTCTTACTCGACAAGCTGGGCCACAGTGGAAGGTGCGCCAGGCTCAGAAGAGCTGGCTTTGAATCCTGGCTCTGATATGTAACATCAAAGGCCCCAGCCCTTAGACTGAACTCCTGCTCTCCGGGGGCTGGGAGAAGATGCTAAGAAACAGGGCTGCCTCTGAGCCGAAGGAAAGAGAAGGAACGGCTGTCTGGCGGTGAGGGTGCTCACACAAGGACACTTACAAAAGCTCCCTTCAGAAGGATTACATCTTGGAGGGCTTGTGAGACACTGGGCACCCTAGAGCATTATTGGTGGAGCTGAGCTGTGGATGAACACAACCATTCTGCAGAGCAATTTGGAATCATCCAAATAAAGCAACTCAAATGTCCACGCCCTTCAACCCAGAAAGTCCACTCCTAAGCATATACTCAAAGACATCAGTGACCAAAAAGGTCCTCCAAACACCAGGATATTTCTATCAGCCTTTTTTGTGGTAGTAAAGAACTGGAAATAACACAGATGCGAATCCATGGGGAAAAGCCAGACAAACTGTGGTCAGCTAAGGTAATGAGATATGACTATTGTAACAAATGGCAAATCTGCTGAATGAGAAGAGGGCAGAGAAGCACGGGAAGACTGATAATGACGCCAGCAATGGAAGTGGAAAGGACAGTGACTAGGAAACGATCTCAACCAACACTGTGCCCACTCCAAGAATGACTGAGAGTGAGCCTGGCTCCAAGTAAGGACCCCGGAAAGACCCCTCCTCCTCCCAGCGCAGAAGCGGGGGAGGAGGGCCCCCGGCTGTGGAGCACTGCAGACGCTGGCAGATTTCTCAATGGATTGGTTGGTTTTGCTGAAATTTTTCTTTTTTCTTTTTTTTTTTTTTTAAATTCTTTGTTATGGTTTTCTGGGAAAGTGAAAGACACAGGAGATATATAAGTGAATGACGACAAAAGATAGCAATAAAAAGCATTTTTTTTTAATAAAAAAGGAACATATCCCACTCCAGGAAGTTGGAAGTGTAGACATAACAACAGCAGCTCTCACGAACTGCCTTCCTGGCCCCCCGCTCCACCCAGATGGAGGACCATGCTCCCCAACCATAACGGGCTCTGGAGATCGGACGTCTACCCGTCCTTGAAGCCCAGATCACAAGCTGGCTGTCCTTCTGCCCAAACTAGAAAGCGGATCTCTAGGTAAAGCACTTAGCACAGAGCCTTCACACAGCAGGGGCTTCATCAATGCCCATTCCCTTTCTGCTCTGGAGAGTCACTGCCGTCTTTCTCCCATCCCACGTGGAGACAGGGTCTCCTCTCTCCGCCTCTGGTCCCGTCGGGGGGAGCACCTCGCAAACAGAGGTGGAGCCCTAACGACAGGGGGACGGGAGTCGCCTCCGCCGGCCAGACCGCAGCCTACCCAGGCCCAGATGTTTACCTGCCAGACCGTTGTTCCTCTGCCGCGCTTGTTTGTATTCGGGGCATTCTCTTCTGACGTGTCCCACGTCTCCACAGATAAAACATCTCTTCTCTCGAAGTTCTCTGTCTTCATCCTTCATTTCTTTCTCATCTTCTTTCTCATTCTCTTTCTTTTTCAGCCTAAACAGTAAAGCGCTGATGCCAACAACATTGTATGGATAGGTATTTCTAAGGAGCCTTGGCCAATGGAAAACTAAGCCCAAGTCCGCGATCCCCTATCATCTGAGCCACATCCCTAGCTCGGGGTAAATTTCCCCTAACCCGGGCTGCAATGTGAAAGGAAACCTGACAGTTTACTGAGTCTATTCACATAAGCAATCAAATAAAGATTAATTTGCTAACCTAGTTAGTTACTAGTTATCCCCCATAGCTCCTTGGCAAGTGTCTTGTACCCGTGGGTTGGGAACCCTGGCCGTAAGGAATCGAGATCTCCGATGTTTAATGCAACAGACACAATGATGTTGGGGTGTGTGTGGTGTGTGTGTGTGGGGAGGGGGGGCAAAGGGGTAATAAGAATCGCCACATTTTCCCTGCTATAAAATACTTCTTCCTTCCCTGCCTACCCCCCCTCCCCCTTAGCTGCCACCTGCCCTCACTCTCCCCCAACCCCAAGAGTCTTTCTTTTAAATCTTGTTTTTGGCAGTTCAAGTTTCTGCCCAGTGTTTGCTCGCCCACCTCCTCCTTTTAGGACAGTCTTTCATGTAGTGCCCAATTTTCCCACACACACGGCAGCAGCGGTCATTGGGGGCCAACTCTCCATCCGTCAATACTTTAGAATCAAAGAAGTACTCCTAGAAAGAAAACCCCCTGCTGATGAACTCTGCCTTCAGAGACGAGGTGAAGGGAGAGTGGGTGGGGGAAGGAGAACGTATATCCTTCCCCTAAACCCAACACATATGAGACGCGTGTGAAAGGATCTGCGGTGCCGAGCACATGGACTTACCGCTTCTCTCCCAACAAGAGGATAAAACGGGGTGCCAAAGAGTTTCCTGCCATTGATAAAGGCCTTCATGATGAAATTGGTCACTGGGAGGGAAGAAGGCGGCAGATAAGATGCAAACACTAACTGTTCCCTGCTCTAAAACCACAGTGCCGATATTATTTAGAACTTACTTTTTCTAGAGACTCCAGCACCAAGGTTATGATTCAAGTCAAAAGGATCTAGAAAAGAAGGATGTCCTTTTTAAGCACTTTGAACAGAAATCCCAATTTTTAGGTGCAACCAACCAAGATAAGCATTCCTTAACATTTACCATCTGTCAGAAACCCGGGGAGGTGGCAGATGTCCAGCAGAGGAGGGCTCAGCTCGGGCGTCTCCTCGGTCCTCCCCTGACTTCTCCAGAATGCCCTCCGCCCTCTCCCTCTCGTGTGTGTGTGCCTTCCCCCATTAGAAGGAAGCTCCTGGAGGGCAGGGACTGTCTCCTTGCCCCCCATTTGTATCCCCAGCCTTGGCACACAGTCAGTGCTTGGTGCTTTTTTACTACTGATCACTAAGTAAACACAAGGCCACTTCTCCCTGTCTGGACTGCAGCGTGAGGTGGAGCTGCTCACGTTCACCAGTCCTCTTCCGAAGAGCTGCTTTTCTCACCACTGCTCTCCCAATCCCTGGGATGAGGAACTTCCTTCTGCCTAAGAATACCCTTCCCAGCCCATCCTCTGCCGGCCCCTTCCTCTGGGCACAGTGGAATTCCTGCCCCCTAAATGAGAAACTCCCCTTCATTCAGACTCGTCTGCCTTCTGCCCCCTCCCACGTCTGTTACGTATGGCCCCCTCTCGCTCCTTATCAAGCCTCCCCCCAGAGCAGGCCCTCCTACCTCCTTGCCTGGAGCGGCCTCCTTGGGGCCTTGTCTGCCTCACGTCTCTCCCCATTCTGCCTCCAAACGGATTTTCCTAAAGCGCAGGTCTGACCAGGCTGCCCTGTATTTAATCATCTCCAGGATCAAATATAAAATCCTGCTTGGCTTCTGAAGCCTTCCCAAACTGGCATTCAATAAATGCGCTATGGATTAACTGGGGGGTGCACTAGCAGCTTCTGCGGGGTTGGGGGATATCAACAATTGTTAGATTAAAGGCTTATGGATCTCAAATATATAAAAAACAATAAATTCCTGTCCTCAGGGAACTTACATTCAACAGGGAGAATCCACAAGTACCCAGACAATAAACACAGGATGATCGGGGGGTCAGGGAAGACATCTTAGTAGGGGATGGCACCTGAGGGAGGGCATGCCAGGCACGCATGGCAGCCCGTGCCAAAGCATGAGGAGATACAATAGGGACTCCATGGAATAAGCATTAATCGATCCACAGAGGGTGAAGTTATCTCGACTTTATTACGTTCTCAGTGATCTGAGAACACAAGAGACACGTGGGATAGCTGAGTGTGTTCCAACTAGCTAAAGCTTTTGAATGATGACTACTTTACCACTGGAAAAGGGAAACTGAGGAAGCTCACTGTGGATGGCTTAGATCTTTTTAGTGAACTAAGAGGCTGGGATGCCTTTGGCAAGCGTGAGGAGATGTGGTCTAGGGCCTGGAAAGCTTTGGAAAAGTCCCTGTGGGAAATAAGTGAAGGGCTGCCTACTCTGAGAACGAATTTATTACTGGAAACAAATGCATTAATTTGTCTTCAAAAGTGGGGGAAAGCCTTCGCAGAAGGCCCTAACAATACTGTAATACCTAAGAGAGGCTTAAAAACCTCACTTCAGTTGAACCACACACTGACCACCTGAAGTCCTACAGGCCCAGGCCGACGATGGAGGCCACACACTGGCCTCCCCTGGGGATGCTCCTCTATGGACCCCCAGCGCCGAGGTGATATCCACAGGCCCAGTGAGGCTGCTCAGCAAATACCTTCGATCGCAATGCATTTGGATGTCCACTGTTTCTCAAAAGTTGTCAGCAGCTTTTTCTGCCGAATGCTGATGACATATTCCTTGAAATCAAATTCTTCGGTGTAAAAGCGCAGCAGCCCCAGCCAGAGCTCCCCCAGGGTCTCTGTGTTTTGGCCCAGAGAAGGCAAACGCTTTTTCTGGAGGGAGAGAGAAATTTATTAGGACTACCCAGCAATGGGGCAACAGAGCTAAGTCAAAATTCTGCATGAACTTACTAGACAAATCCTATCACAAACAAGAGGACAGTGACAGTTACCAGTTCCTCCATGTCATCAAAGAAAAAGGCATTCCATCCATCCACCATTCGCTGGGGAATCTGTTTTCCATCGAATATCTGCAGCAAACAAACCAATTATTTGGTTATTTCACGGCAGCTTTTTAGCGGGCTGATCGCTAAGCCTGTCCTTCAAAGTTATTTCCAAATAATAATAAGAGCAGTAATACCTCCTCTAATAAACACAGGACAGGAGAGTACCAAAAAGTTAATGGATCATGCATACTTGAAAGCATGTTTGTAATGGGCTAAGGACATTTTAATAGGATAAGATGGTCCAAATACAGGAATACTGGGGCAGCTAGGTGGCACAATGGATAGAGCACCGGCCCTGAAGTCAGGAGGACCTGAGTTCAAATCTGACCTCAGACCAAACACTTGACACTTACTAGCTGTGTGACCCTGGACAAGTCACTTAACCCCAATTGCCCAAAAATAAAAAAATTAAAATCAAATACAGGAATACTGCCTATTTAGCCCGAAACCTGGCCTATCAACAACCCTGTAAGGTCAGCAGCCAAAGTGTTGTACCCACCTTCCTAAGAAAGAAGCAAATGCAGAGGGAAAAGTGACCTGTAGAGTCAGCAGATTTCCCAACATTTCTACGTTCTTGCAAGTACATAACAAAGCCAGAATTTGGGCCCAAATGTCCTGACTCCAAGTTTAGATCTCTTAAAAAAAATTTTAGGGGGCAGCTAGGTGGCACAGTGGATAGCACTCTGGCACTGGAGTCGGGAGGAACTGAGTTCTAATCCAGCCTCAGACATTTGATACTTACTAGCTGTGTGACCCTGGGCAAGTCATGTAACCCCACTGCCTCACCAAAAAAGCTCCCCCTCAAAAACTTTTTTATGTATCTGTGTGTGCATCTGTGACACATCACACACACACACACACACGAAATCAACAAAAATCTATTTTCTTTCTCTCCTACTTCCCTCCCCCAAATGAAAAAGAATATAAGATCTTCATAAGAGATATGGATAGTTGAACAAAACACTTTACCACACAGGCCGTGTCTAAAAACCAGGGAAGTCATTCTGTAGCAAATCCATCAATTCTCTGTCGGGAGGTGGGCAACAGGGACCACCCTGGATCCTGCAGAAATCATGGCTGGTCCTTGTGGTCACTGGAGTTCTTAAATCTGCCAAAGCTGTCTGCTTATGGCATGGCATAAACCGTTCTGGTTCTGCTCACTTCATTCACAATTTTCTTAGAAGACGGGAAACCTTGGTCCAGCTTTCTTTGAACCGTCCCCTTTCTCCCTTCTCATGGCCCTACAGTTTCCCATCACGTCCAACAACCATAACTTGTCTGACCCCATCCCAGCTGACGGGGCTCCCCTCTGGTTTCCAGGCCAGCACACAACACTTGCCATCAATAGTTGTGTTCCTGGGGGTTAGGGTTTCCCTCTTTCTTTGTTCCCCTGGGGCTTAAGGGGCACAGTAGTGGTATTGCTGGGTCCAAGGGGGCACAGTTAGCCCTTCCTAACAACAGAAAATAATTAGATGAAGGCAAAGTTTCAAGTGAGAAGCACAGGACTGGGATGCAGATAACGAGTCGGCACTCGGACAGTCTACAACTGTCATCTCAGGCCTCTCGTAGCTCTAAAAGTCTAGGAATCTAGGACTCTAAACAGAGCCTGCCACTTTTTATGAGCAACCTAGCACCCCCTGAATTTTACCTATAAATCCAGCAGTTGGGCGTGGGAGCAATACTCGCTGTCCCCCAAGCACAAAGCATCCAGAGGAAAGGGGACCCTGCCAAATGGGGCTCTTCATCTCACTGTTTAGTCTTGGAGAAGGGGGAGAGGAGAGTGCCCCAGGGGCTGCGACTAACTGGTGCACATGGAAATCCTTCGTATTTCTAGCTCAGCACAGACACCCACCAGATGCTTCACCAGTTGGTGATTTCCTACAATTTCCCCAAATAACTCTATCTCTTAGCTCCCACGTCCAAGTAAACGCCCTTCTCTGAAACCAGAGCTGGCCACTCCCAGATGCTGAGGAGGGGACCAAAAGCACTGACTGCAGAGAAGGCAGGGCTCAGTGATGGAGAGAAGGACCGTTCCTACATCATGATAAAATGGGACTCCTGATTCACCATCCACGAGGGAACGGGCGTGAAAACAGACAGCCGGGTGCTTGGGAAGACAGCTCTGGAAAGAAAGGTGCCCAGAGGCTCAGCGTTTCCCAGACCTGGAGGGATGTAATAACTATTACGGACCAAAGTCTATACGAGGGCATGGCGGACCGAAACAGCCGGCCTGCCAAGAGCTTTCACCAGGAACAGGCGGGTCACAGAGATCTTGAGACAGAAAGATCCAAGGAAAGTCGGGATGGCTAAAATCCTAGCACGTGCCATACATTTTTTTTTCAATTTAACGTTCTGTCCTCAGCAGGTCTTCTCTGGAATGTTCTGTAGTAGTAACAGCGGTGAGGACAGCTTGCAATGGTAGAGCATTTTAGGGTTTGCTACGTGCTTTACAAATACCATTTCATCTGATCCTCACAACAACCTGGGGGGTGGGGGGTGCTAGTTCCCATTTTGCAGCTGAGGAAACTGAGGCAGACAGAGGTTAAGTGACTTACCCAGGGTCACACAGCTCTAAGTGTCTGAGGCTGGCCATTTAGCTACCTCACTCACTACCTTGGAAAAAGTCAAAAGAAGCTTCAGTGCATCTGCGACAGACATCACAGACGCCAAGACAGAAAGGTCTCATGGGCCTGAGAAGGGCCTCGCACTTCCTCCTCATTCTCTCAGCTAGACCCGAGCCCCCTGCGCCTGCATGCTCTTCCCCAAACACCCACCTCCTGGAGCACTGGGATCACGGGGGGATCTCTTTGTTGCAGGAAGTACAGCACCATGAGGATATAAGCATAGGAGGACAAACTTCCTCTGGACGCATCACCGATGTCACAGCGCTAAAAAAGCACGAACCGCAAGTCAGGTGTGAGATCAGACAACGCAATGACCCCCACGGAGGGCCACGAAGCCTGGCAGCTGCCAGCTCAATCCTCCCCTGCCTCCGAGATGAAGACCCGCAGACCCAGCACGGTTACAGGAGAGTTACACAAAGTCAGGACAGTCGGGACCTGAACCCTGAGCTTCTGACAAAGGTTAGCCTTCCTTTTTAATCTTATTCTGTGGAACATCTTCAGGGAAAAATGACCCTCTAAGCTCTAAACCTGGACGTGAATTTTTAGATTTTTCCAAAATGCTTTTGACTACCATGGTCACATTGGCAGGTGGTCCAAAAGGCACACACTGGGTATAAGCAGGCTGGCAATTTGCAGAAAAGAGGTGGGGTCTGAGCTAAATCTTGGCAAGAGGTGTTATCTAAAACGGTAGGGAGGAGGGAAAAGGCTTGGACAGGACCAGACCCATTCACGGAACCCTCCATGAGCTCTTGTGAAGGAGAGAGTGTGGGGGGGATGGGGGGAGGCTTTCCACAGCTAAGTACCCAGAGCTTAAAGGCAGGAAAGATGCCTGCCCAGGGCATCGAATGCCAAGCACAAGAGTCTCAGCTAGACTTCATCCTATGGGCAGTGGAGGGAGAGCCAAGTAGGGTCAGGATCATGATCGGGGAGCCCCATGCACAATGGACTGGCCAAGAGAGGCTGATCTTCCCTGCTCTTCCCCGTACCCTGCAGAAGGGGACAGTGGTATATGCCCTACAATGGGATACTCATGGCTCGAAGTGGCTAAACCTGGACCTTTCTTCTGAGAAGAGCTCACGAAGGCAGTATGTGCCCATGGGGCAGAGAGAGCCCTCTCGGGTGTCCCCCCAAGGGCTCCATGACAGGCCCTAAAAGGGCTGGTCTAGTCCCAACAGCCTCAACACTGAACAGCTTCCATCTTCTTGGGGTGGCGCACCTGCCACCACCATCCCCTTGGAGGAACAAGGCCCAATGTGCAGAACATAGCCCATCAACAGAAGGGACAGAAACACAGCAAAAGCCAACCGACAAAGAGGCAACATCGCACAAGACTCACACATCAACCCTCCTAGGCAAGACAGGAGCAAGAAGGTCAAGCTTCAGCATTTCAATTTAATTTGAAAACACCTCCAACCCTCAAAGTGTTCATGGGGCGTGGTCAAAGTGGAAAAAAAGGGACTGGCTTTGACACAAGTGTGTGTGTGTGTGTGTGTGTGTGTGTGTGTGTGTGTGGTGTGTGTGTGTGTGTGTGTGTGTGTGTTGGAGAGAAAAGGAGAGAAACAGAAAGGGGGGGAAGAGGGAGTGAGAAGAAAAGAGAAGAAAAGAGTGAGTGAAAGAAAAAGAAGGGAGAGAGAGAGTGGGAGTGAAAGAGAAAAAGAGGGGGGAAGAGAGAGAGAAAGGGGGGAAGAGGGAGCGAGAGAAAAAAAGGGGGGAAAAGATGCAGGGGGAAGAGTGAGATACCATGGACCAGGAACTTTCCTTCTCCGTCTCCAAGGTCCTTAAACTGCACCGCATACCTCAGAAGGGGAGAAACCACTCTGTACCTCACATGTGAATTCTAAATAAACTGCAATGAGATCATTTGAGAACACACAGGTCTCTGCAGAGCCATCAGCATGCTGCCTGCTCCCAAGCCACCCTCGCTGGCTGCCTACCTTGGCGAACACTTTCATGGTATATCCCAAGTACTGCACCCGAGGATCGATAGCTGCATACGTAGCCAGCATTCTTGTATTATGCTGAGCCTGAAAAACAGCTTTGTGTTTGAAAACATTCCAATGCATGACAAGAGTTCACAGCTGGAAGCAAACCCACGCTGTTTAGCATGGGAAAGCTAGTTTCCCAAGTGACAGAGATGGCACAGGGCCTCCTCCGGGGGGAAGGCCAGGTCCTGACAAACACGAGCACATCCAGAGGCTGGCACCGAGAAGGAGGAGAGAACATGTGCAAGTGTGCTCTAGGAGAGCAGTTCAGAGGGACACCGATCTCAGACAGATAGAAGCTCACCAAGGTATTGTATAAGCTGATGTCTCCTTCTAGTCCACTCCGCCTGTGTTCAAATTTGACGATAGGCACTTTGGCAGTAGTTATAGGCAAGATGTTTTTTAAACCTAATAAATACAGCAGGACTTCAGTGTGTATCATTTTCATCATGCAAACAATACACACACAGAGCCCACATTTAAAACACATACCTGGATGTCGCTTAAGAATTTTTGCCAAACCTTCAATTATTTCCTTACAATTCAATTTCTAAAATACAAAACAGAAAATGATAAATAATTAATGCTTAACATCAGGGCTCTGTCCATCCGAACCACCCCAATGTACTGATTCAGTGCGGGCGATACCAAGCTCCAATATCTAACTCTGATGCTATAGTCTCTGGGCAAAAGCCCATTCAGCTGGGGAGTAAATGGAAGACTCTATTTCTGTTCTGTCCCTCAGTTTTGAGAAAGCAAGAGGCAGCACGATGTGAAAGACAGAGTACTGAACTTGTAGTCAGGAAAACTGGGTCCCAGGCCTAGCTGCCATACTTTCTAGCTGTCCAATGACAGGAAACAACAACATATGACCACAGGCACCTAAGGTGACTTCTCTGTGCCTCAGTCCATAGTTTTCTCATCTGTGGAATGGGGACAGCACTGCTTGTCCAAGAAGAAGGGTAGTCAGGCAGCAGCCAGGAGGATAGCCTGGGTGTGGGCCTGACCAGGTGCCAGTGCCGTCTCAGAGAACAGCCAGGGAGCTGTGAACGGGTCCCTTACCCTCTCGGCACCCTCAGGCAGCCCGCTAAGATTGTAAGTTCCCTACATAAATAGAATTCTGCTCCAAATCCCTCTGCCTCCTGCCTTCCTGGCTTTCCTTAGAGCCCACCTGCTTCCAGCCGCTGTGCGGTGCCCTTCTGCTGGCACCTCTCGGAGAAGGCCTCCGATGCACCCTGGAAATATCTCCTGCATTCATGGTCACTGGCACACTGAGTTCACTCCCAGGGGACAGGGACTGTGTTTTTGCCTTTCTCTGCCCCTCTTAGAGGCTAAATGCTTGCTGTCATGCACACATACATCCATCCATCCATCCACACTCACAGAGGGAGGGGCAGTCCCAAGAGCACAGGGAGGGCACAGGGAGATCTGGGATGAGGAAACGCTCTCCAGGCCCACAGGTCAGCACCTTCTCTGTAGTGCAGTCTTGGAGAGGGGCTGGAGTACTGAGAGGTTAAGGGACTTCCCTAGGGTCACACAGCCCCTGGGGGTGGCAGAAGCCAGGTCTTCCTGGCTCTAAGGCCAGGGCAGCCTTCTGCACACTCCCTGGGGTGCTTCCATATGCCTGCATACTCCATGTGCACATGGTTATTTATGCTCTGACACATGCCAGCAATACTGAGCCCACCAATCTCCAACCTTAAAAGGGACGCTGCAGAGAGCGCCTACTCCAACCTGTACCCACTGACTGAGGCCCTACTATGTGCCAGGCACGGTGCACTAGGCCTCTGCCTGGACCTCCAGGGCACTGACCACTGACCAAGGCACATGTCCTATTTCTGGCCAGCTCAGTCACAGGACAGCCTGATCCTTCAAAGCATGCAGGATCTTTGATGTCAGAAAAGCCTCTTGGAAATCTACCAGTCCTCAAAGTCACCGCCAGGTATGGGAGATCTCGTGTTATGAACAGGCTAACTGTCCTTCCATGCCACGTGCTGCTAAGCTGGGGAATGGGGTCCCCTGGGCGGTTCTGGTGCCTGGGAGCCCCGGAACAAGAAGAGCTCCCCCACATTACCATGCATTTCTACAAGCTGTCTGTTTCAAAGCGAGCCAGTCTTCTCTTTTCTTATTCACGAGATCACAGGACCATCCCCAGAAAGACTCAAAGGCTGCCCGGCTCCTCACCCTCTGATGAATATTTGTTCCAGCAATTCAGGATTCACCAGATGTGAAAGCAGCGCCCAGGCCAGTGAAACCAAGGAGCTTTGGAAGCAGCAGCAAATGCACTGCCCCAGCTGCTCTCTCCCCTCCACAATGAATTCACTCATTCTCCAGCAAAACTCTGTACAGACAATTTTCCCTTTCCCTTAGCTTTGCTTTAGAAAGCAAACACAGAAATAGTGACTACAAATACATTACATTTTCTGTTAAACAAAAATAGCTCAGATTACAATCTTTTCTGAGAAAAAAAAACCAAACCCAAGGTCCCCTCTGCTGACTCCTTCCATTTCATGATGTGCATGGGAAGGAGGCAGCCTAGAAGTGGGTGTACGTGGAATCCACTGTGACCCTGCAGCTTTCTCCACAGAACAGGGAGCAGTTCCTCGGGACCCGATGAAAGAAGTAGGCGGGAGTGAGCACCACCTCTCTCTAGAGCACCCCCGCAGAAGACTGACCCCGATGGCCCCCTCTCCTGAGGAGTGGCCCGCCCCTTTTGGCAGGATCAGCAGGTGCCAGCAGAAGGAGTAGTTTTCCTTATGGAAGAAGGGCCAGTCTGCCCAGGGACCCACTGGAGCACTTCAGCCCCTGGCCGTGCCTCTGGCCCCACTTCCACACTTGAAGCTGTTCCCTCCCCAGGGCTGTGGCTGAATGAAAGGGGGAAAGGACAGCCCCTGCTCCAACGGCTGGGGCCCCATCAAACAGTCCCACAGTCCCGATGGCCTGAGGCAGACGAGGAACACGGCTTCACTTATGACCTTTTACAGGTGGTAGCTCAATTCCTGCCCAGTTATGTGGGGGATCCAGAACTGCCCAGAACAGACTGAGAGGGCTGCTATGCGGGGGGATCAAGTCCATGCTTTGGCTATAATCTACCTGGATTTTTAGCAAATGAAGCTCGGCAACACTGGGTGTCCTGCAGCAACCTTAGCTGGACTCTCTCTCCACGAGCCTTCCCACCTCCACTGCCACTGTCCAGGGTGCCATCATCCTTCACAGCCTCAGTCCCTGCTGCCGCCAGAGGTCCCATCACCCAATTACCAAACCCTGCTGCTGATGCCGCCGCCATCGCCTTCACATCTTCTGACTAATCCTTTCTCTCCACTCACAGTCACCGCCTGTGGCTCAGGTCTCACCTCTAACCTAAGCAGGGGTCTTCAACCGTCTTTGACTGGGCACCCCATCAGTAAAATTGGGGGGCACACCTCCAAAATGTCAGTGTACATGAGAGGCACTACTATATTAATGATGCTTATGTCCACCGTAAAATGTACTCCAAAACAGACACTTTAAAAAGGACAGTAATAAGAGCCAGCACTGAGCCAGCACGCCACCTGAGCTCTGGTATTTATCTGGTCTTCACAACAAGCCTGTGAGGAAGATGCTACAGGGATGGAAGAACATTTGATTGTGGAGATCATGAGTTGCTACTGGAGTTTACCAAGCAGGGGAAGGATGTGGTCAGATCTGTGCTTCAGGAAAATTGCTTTGGCAGTGAAATGGAAAAGGGAGGGGAGAGATCTGAAGCAGAGAAACCAACTAAGAGGTGGCAGGTGATGAGGGCTTGTGTGCGTCAGGAAGTTGGTCAGTGAACAAGCATCTATTAAGCACTTACTACATGCACACACCATGCTAAGGGCTAGGGATACAAAGAAAGGCAAAAAACAGTTCCCACCCTCCAGCAGCAAACACCGTAATGGAGGAGTCGCCATATAAATACCCAGGACACACGAGATGTACACAGAGTACACGGAAGTAATCTATCCTTCTCAATGACTTCTATGGCTCCCTACAACCCTTGGGACAAAATGGAAAAATCCTGACTGGCTGTTAGAGCTCTTCACAACCCAGAGCCACCTACCTCTCCACTCGCCTTCTCTCTGGTCACCTGGAGTCTCTGGCTCTCCCCAGATGGGGAGCATGCTCCCCGTCTTGTCTCTGTCCTACAGAACACTGCTCCTTCTCCAAGACACACAGTGCTAAGCACCACCTTCTGCAGACCCCGAGGACTCTCTTCCTAACTAGCTCGGATTCCTCATTTCTGAGCACACTTAGCCGCATGCTGGACTCTCCTAAATGTGTATACCGGACGTTTTCCCTCTCATTAGATAACAAGCTTCCTGAGAACCAGGCCTGTGGTATTAGGGCATCTTTATCCAGCTTCGGTGAGTCACACACCATGGGAATCTAACAAATGTTTCCTGAATTCTCCCAAATGGATGGATACAAAAGCTTCTTACAGCAATACCGAGTGACCTACAGTATTCAGCATTACCTCAGCATTCTCATGGCCATCGAGTGTCATGCAGATGTCGAGATCGCTGTCGCGGAATCCAAATCCGTTCTTTGAGGAACCAAATAAGCAAAGTCTGGCCTTTTCTGATCAAAAAAAGAAACAAAAATGTATGAGGGCAGTTTCCAGTTGCTCCAAAAAGTGGGATTAACAGGGAGAACTGAGCGAAATTCTTGTATGACAAAGAACCCAGAGAAATGCTGTCAGGTCTGAGATGGAAATTGAATGAGAAGTCACGAAGCTATGAACAGGCCACGTCCCAAGGGGGTTTTTAAGCTCTCTTCAGATGGACAGACCAGAAAGGGGTAATGAAGGCCGGCTGTGAGGGCTGAGCTCGCTCCTAGGACTCCTGTGCCTCAGTGGGACCGAGAGGAGAGAGCTGTCTTCTGTAGCCTACACAGAGGGGAGGGAATGCTAGGCCCCCCAGGGGAGCACGAATTGATAATTTAGTTGAGATTATTACCTACCAGCTCATGTGCACCTTGGGGAACTGGCTAAAAGGGAAGGCTTTGTGACATTCAGCACTACATCACTGGGGCTCCTCAAGCTACAAAGACTCCTACAAGGGCTCTGTGCCCTCTACAAGGCAGGGTGGCAGAGCAGGAAGGACATATGCTGGACCTGAATCACTGTGTAGGCTGTATGAACTCCTCCAGGAAGCCTCCTCAGATTGCTCTAGCCAGAAGATGACCTTCCCTACTTCATCAAAACCTCGTGCCACAAGGACCTCTCCTGTAATTAAGTATCTGTACACATTTCTCCTCCCATTTAGCTCCTGGGGGGCAGGGATTGTCTTTTTTTCATTTCTGCATACTGCTGGGCAGGGAATAAGGACTTTGGCAATGGATTTTTGAAACATGCGATCACACATACTGTGTTATAAAAAAATTTTGCCAGAGAAAACCAAAGATTTAAGTTCAGGTTGTTTCTGGATGACAAATTGCATTCTTTTGACAGACTAATTTCTTTCTTTGAAAAAAATCATCAGGGGCAGCTAGGTGGCACAGTGGATAGAGCACCAGCCCTGAAGTCAGGAGGACCTGAGTTCAAGTCTGGCCTCAGGCCAAACACTTGACACTAACTAGCTGTGTGACCCTGGGCAAGTCACTTAACCCCAATTGCCTATAAGCAAAAAAAAAAAAAAGAAAAGAAAGGAAAAAAAAGAAAAAAATCATCATAAACTTGTTCCTACTACCAGCTCAACTACTCTTGTAGAATTGAGGGCTCACCTTTGAGAAGTTAATTCTCCGTTTTTGCTAAGGCTTGAAAGTTACTGGTTTACTAAATATCACTCTGGTAAGCCAAGGGCGAATTTCTCCCTAAAGTAAGCAATGTATTTCACAGAAACTGTTTATCAGCAGGGTGAGGATCCTCACTCAGGGTCGCCTCCATTCCATCAAAGAATGAGAGCTGATATCCCAAAGAGATCATACAAATGGGGAAAGGACCCACACGTATAAAAATATTGATAGCAGCTTTTTGTGGTGGCAAAGAATGGGAAATTGAGAGGATGCCCATCAATTGGGGAATGGCTGAGCAAGTTGTGGTATATGAATGTAATGGAATACTATTGTGCTATAAGAAATGATGAACAGGCTGACTTCAGAAAAACTTGGAGAGACTTGTGTGGTCTGATGCTGAGTGAAGTGAGCACAACCAAGAGAACGTTGTACACAATAACAGCCACATTGTGCAATGACTAATATTGATAAACTTAACCCTTCCCAACAATACAAGGATCTAAGACATCTCCAGAGGCCTCATGATGGAAAATGCTATCCACATCCAAAGAAAGAACTATGGAAGTTGAATTGCTATTTTTTCTCTTCTGTTGAGTTTTGTTTCCTCTTTCTGGTGGTTCCTCCTATTGGTTTTAATTCTTCCTTACAACATCACTAATGTTAAAATATGTTTAATAGGAATGTAAATGTATAGTCTATATCAGACTGTGCGCCATCTTGGGGAGGGTGGTGGGGAGGAAGAGGGAGAAAAATTTTCAACTCAAAAGCATATGGAAGTGATTGCTGATAAATCAAAATAAATTAATAAAATTTAAAAAAATTTAAAAAAAAAAGAATGAGAGCTGGGAGGGCCCTAAGAGACTCTGGACTATTGGCCAAGATTGTGCAGCCCATACAAGCACAATCAGAATTTGAACCCAAGGCCTCTCAGGCCACACCCAAGAGCTCTTTCAAATACCACCAGGCTGTCTTGATTTACCCTCTTTCCCCAAATACTTGCAGAAGAATTCAGATGACCTTGTTAAATCTTAGAGGACACAGAGGCTTGCGAGCTGCTACCTCTACCGACAGGGGTGGCCACCGCGGCTGGGTGGTTGCATTCTTTGTCCCTGGGTCCCCAGCCGGGACCTGCACAGAGTACGTGCTTAATGCACTGACTGATCAGGAAGTGAAAAGGAACTTGGGACCCAGGTTCCACCTACATCTCCCACATGAGCACACCTCAGGGCATGGAATACAAACCAAGCTAACAGCTGATTACTCATGCCCGGTATAAACGCATGTTGACCCCAACAGACAATTCTTCTTTTCTCTCCATATGTGACAATGTGCCCTTAAGTATGAAAAGACCAGCTCACTGGGAAAATGAGAACAGTGCATGGCAAACCCAAATAACATACCATTATATTCTTTTTGAATAAACCTTTCTAAGCTGGCCAAAATTTGCTCCCTGCTTTGTTGTTCAGAAAATGGAGGTGATAATTCATCTAAGGAGGAAAGAAAAAGAAGAGTGAAAAATGATGAAATATCATCATGCATTTGATTTTTCAACCAAAACCTCTTCTATGTTCCTCTCTTTCTTCATTATTGTGATGAATATTTAGGGGAAGGGGCAGCAGAGAAGTTTCTTACAGACTCTCCGTTTCCTGTCCTGCCAACTGTCTCTACTGTCCTCACGTGACACCCAAACTGACCTCTTCCCATTCTCAATGCGGGCCCTCCTCTCTGCAGCCAGGCCTGACACTTACCTGTCCCCCAACCAGAGCGGGACAGATGGTTCCTGCCTATTGTCCAAGCCACTGCAAGGAGAATGCCTTCCCCCTTTTCCTTCAAGGGCAAGAACCGAAGGTTTACCCTTCCCTGAAGTCTTCCTTGCTCAACAACCCTCCAACCTTCAATGGCTTTCCTCTTCCCTGAATCCCTAACAGCATTCTTGAGTGGATCCCACAATTTAACTATCTTTTGTCATTGGCATTATTCTCTGGTTCTTCTCCTCAAGCTAGACAGTAAATTCTTTCAAAAGAAGAAACTTTTTCCTTGCTTTCTCTGATAGCACTCACACAAGAGGAACTTAAGTCTCCTACATATCTGTTGATTAATGGATGGATGCACAAAGATGGACCTGATTAATCTCTGGCGGTTTCCTATCTGTCAGTGTACGGCTGCCAAGCTGGACTACCAGGCATCTCTCCAGCCCACAAACAACAACTTATACTCATCACCAAACTTGACACAAGCTACTACCGAAACAAACAGGAGGGACAAAGTCAGGTTCTAGGCACTAACTCAGTTCTAGTCGTTTCCTGTAAAAACGTACTCACCAAAGCATTTTTTACACACTAGATCAAGTATATCCCGAAATCGGTATGTCATTGGTGGGAGCGGTTTGAGATCAATTTTCTTGAAATCATCTGGACAGTCATTTTTGGAATGCCCGTCTCGCTTGCAGATGCTGCATACTATAGTTGGAGGCTAAAGAGAAAACACACACACACAAAAAAGAAGAAAAGCTACTAAGCCTTTGGAATATCACTTCCCAGCCACTGGAATTCCTTGTAGATGGGTCCAAAGCATGTACACTTCAGGTCTGATTAACTGTGCTAAACAGCTGAGGAAAACCTATGTGATTAAGAATCAGAACGGACAAAAAAAAAAACTCCCTTGAGCCAACAACTTCCATCTCCTTTTTTTCAAAGCTGCTGATAGATGAATAGTGAAATGTGTATTAAGTAACTAAATGACCCAAAAAAGGGTCCAGAAAAATAGTATTTTAAAAAAAATCAGAGGGCATGGATAATTCAAATGTTTATTTACCCCCAATAAACAGCTGATCAAGCAACCACCTGAAGTAAAAAGCCACTGTCTAGAACATTCTAGCAACTAATGAAATAGATTAATTTTAAGTAATGCGCTTCTCATGATATCATCCTTTGTAGTGAAAGGTCTAGTGAGGAAAGAGGGCCAAGGCACACAGTACCCAACTGCCACCTTCTCTGAGACTCAGGCAATAGGCTGGTGAATAAAAATGCAAACACTGTAGCCCCTCCCCACCAAAGTAAATCGTAGTAGTAGTAGTAGTAGTAGTAGTAGTAGTAGTAGTAGTAGAAGAAATAATAATAATAATGATGATAACAGCAGCTGACATATAGTGCTTACCATGTGCTTGGCACTGTGCTAAGCGTTTATACACTTACAGTTAAATAAGAGATTTCTATCCTTCTGTCCTCCTTCCTCAAGCAATCCATCCTTCGTCACTGCACTCCACGTGGTGCTCAAGGATGAAGGCAGAAAAGTTTAACAGTTTGTCCCTAGACAATCATGTTCTTGTTTTCCTTAATAATCTATTTAGCTTACGTGATGTCTATTTCATCACACAGAAATCAGAGCTCACATCCATTGTATTTTAGTTACATATACAGCATATGGAGTAATCTGACCTGGTAAAAATACTACGCACCTTTACTTTGTCACTAAAATACTACGCACCTTTACTTTGTCACTTAAGAGTTTAAATGCCTTTGAAAATTTAGTGCATGTAAGGCAAATTAATAAGACAGAGGGCCCATAAACCACAGAAGCCCCAGGTAACTGGGAGGTACAGCAGCCCAGTGAGCTCCCCATAGCAAGACATGGAAATGGTGGTGTGAATATAGAATCAAGTCATCATTTCACCCACAAACCAGGCTGTTCCTGCCCCAGGTGTTCCTGCGCCTTCCAGGAAAATCACACTCAGAGAAGCGTATTTCCCATGGCATGACAGATTCTCTTTGGCCAGAAGATACAAGGATCATTTTCACAAGGCTCAATTTCAAGTTTTTTACAAATTTAAACCTCCGTGCCAAAGGAGGCCAACTTCCTGATTTTATAAATGAAGAAATAATAACGTATTTGTCTTTCTCCTTTCCCTACCCACCTTTTACCTCCCCCCTTACATGACCCTATGCTTCATCTGCACTGTGACCTCACAATCCCTTGACCCCTCAGTTCTCTCCCTGAGGCCAACTCCCCTGCACCAGCCACTCTCTCCTCCCATCTCGACCCCCTGGTGAACCAGCTCAACTCGACACTGTCCTCTTGAGGCCCTGGCCTCTTGTGCCCTTCCACGCTACAGATTTATGTTAAGCAACCTCAAATGGGCCCTCCCTGCTGCCCGGCAAGCCTACTATTCCTCCCTTGTCAACGTACTCTCCCACTCCCCCCAGCTCTTCCAAACTTCTCATCCCTCCTCAAACCTCCTATAGCTTCATCTCTCTCCACTCTCTCAATGGAGAACCTTGCCTTAGATTTTAAAGAAGAGACAGCGGTCGTGAGCTCCTTCTCCCATCATCGGGTGCCTTCTTTCTGCCCCTCTCTCCTCCTTCACCCCACTCTCAGACAAAGAGAGTGTCTCTTACCAAAGCTAACCTTTCTACCTGGCACAAGTAACCTCATTCCATCCCGTTCCAACAGATCACCCTCTCTAGCAGCCCTACTTTCTCACTTACCTTCAATGTCTCCTTTCCCACTGCTTACACATATGCTCATGTCTCCCCCACCAACTCTCAATCCTACGGAGCAGACTCTGCCTTTGGTAGCTTCACCTCCTGGAAAGGGGCATTTGCAACCAGTGCCTCCACTCTCTTCTCCCACTTTCTCTTCTTAAGCCTTTACGACCTGGCTTCTGACCACGTGATTCTGCCCAAACTGCTGTGTCTAAGGTTAAGAACACTCTCTTACCCTCGTCTTTCTCCTTGACCTCTCTTGATCACTCTCTCCTCCTTGATACTCTCTTTTGAACCTCCCCTCCTCCACTCTCCTCCTCCCTCTCTAATCGCTCCTTCTCTGGCCCCAGGTGGATCCTCATCCAGGTCATGCTCTCTAACCAGGAATGTTCCTCCAGGATCTTTCTTGGGCCCTCTTCTCTTCTCCCTCCACACCACTTCACCTGGTGATCTCATCAGCTCCTGTGGATTTAATGACCACCTCGATGCGATGATTCTCAAATCTACCTTTCCTGCCCCAACCTCTCTGCAGACCACCAATCTCTATCTGCTTTTCAGACATCTCCAACTGGATGTCCAGCGCACATCTTAAAGTCATTATGTTCAAAACCGAAACTGTTCTCTCTCCCCCTAAAGCCTCCCCCCTCCTTCTAGCTTTCCTTTCACTGTAGAGGGCACCACCCTCCTCTCAGACCCTAGGACTCAGCCTGGATTTCTCCTCTCTCACCCCCTCCATATACATCTAAGCTGCTGCCATGGCCTGCTGACTTCACCTCTGCAGCATCTCTCCTCTGACACTGCCCCCACCCTGTTACAGGCCCTCATCACCTCAGGCCTAGACTAATCTTGATTCCAGCGTCCTTCCTCTTCCTTTTCTATCTATCCTGCATACAGCTGGCTTTGTAGATATTTGTTTACACGTTGGTGCCCTCATTAGACTGTAAGCTCCCTGAGGGCAGGGACTGTCTTTTGCCTCTTTTTGTATCCCCAGAACTTAGAATAGTGCCTAGCACATAGTAGATGATTAATGAATGAGTGAATGGGAATAAAAGCAGTAGTACTACAGAATGAGCTGATTCAAAAAGTTTTCCTTTCAACAGGATGTCCTAGGCACTGAGCAAGTTTCTGATGACAGAATTTATTTCTATTATTATTATTATTTTTTTTGATGACAGAATTTATGACTGGGTCACACCATCATAAATTTAAGGTTGACAGGTCCCTGGAAGGCCATCTAGCCTAATTCCTTCATTTTACAGATGAGGAAACTCACCTGTGCCCAGAGACACTGACTTGCCTGGGATCCCACCGAGACAGGATTTGGACGGGTTGGGGGTGGAGGTCTTCCTCAACTCTAAGCACAATCTATCTGGGTGCCATGCACTGGTAAGGCAATCGATGATTACATTCATTTTATGCTGGGCATTTCATTTTTAAGACTATCCCTTTTCAAGGATTGCCCCTTTTTCACTGAGAGAAAAATGGAGGCATTTATAATTGGGCCAGTTTGAGACACACTTAAACCCAAGCAGTCACTCGGTATAAAAGATAAGATTCGACTATCCAAAGTTTTGCTTCCTTGTTTTGTCCCCCCCCAAACGCCCATTTTGGGGGTGTGACCGTCCATAAAACAACAAAATCATTAAGTGCTTTGAGAATATGCAAGATTCTTTATGATAAACGACAAATCATGCCAAACACGGAGGATGAGGACAACGCTGGGGGCTGCGTGATTTTTTCACGTTGAGCGCCATGAGACTCACTGATTCAGTTCTCTGGGACAGGGGAAAGGGAAGCCAGTGGCTTGTACTGAAACCTGCTTTAGAACTTACAGTGACAAAATGACTTCTTTGTTTTTAAGAAGCAGCTATCAGCCGAAATGCAAATAGCAGGGGACTCGTTGGTCAGATAAGTGAACAGAAACAAGGAAATACGGCTCCAATGGTACCACCATGGAAAAATGTGAACGCTTAGGGATGTATGAAACACCAAGGGAGCTACGCACTAGGCCAAATGATCACTGAGTAGGTGAGAGAACGGGTCCTACCTTGCCAGAAGTCAAAATAAACTTATCAAACACGTAATGCATTTCTGGAGGGCAGAGCTGGTCTTCGTCTTTAAGGTCACAAGCTTCTGCCGGAGCTTGGCAGTGGGGAGAGGTAGCTGATGAGTCAGTGCCAGGGCCCGGAGTCGGCTGCAGAGATGGTGTTTCCACATCTGACCTGCAGGGGGTCCCCTCCAGTTCATTAATGGCGTCTGGGTCAGGTGACCTATGCTCGGGGCAGGTACACTGGCCACCGGCCTCCTCTTTCGAACGAGGCTCCGGAGGCTCCAAGTCACGCTGCTCGTCCAGAGATTTTGGCTCCGATTCGTCACCGTCGCTAGGAGTCCAAGGTTCCCGAGCGTCCTCGTCATAACTGGAGTCGGCCGCGTCCAGCTGCTTTGCTGGGTCTTCGTCCTTCCTGCCTCTCTGGGACGCACACTCCATCTCGTCACATTCCTCAGACTGACAAACGTGTGCAACACCCCTACTTTCTGGCTTGGTCTTCTCTACGCTTTCCCCTTGGAGAGGGCAGCCACTGGGGCCCACGTCTCCAGACTTCGCAGGCTTCTTGTTGCTCATTTTCCCCCTCTCCTTCTTCCTGGAATCCACCTTAGACTTATTCCCGTCTTTACTCTGAGGACAAGCAAAATATTTATAGGCTGTCCTGAACCTCTCCAGGATATATTCAAACACCATCTGGCTATTCAAACTCCGTGCAACATTCCTCTTGAGTGCAAAAGGGTCTAGTGGAAAAGAAAAAGGCCAGCATGTTAATACACGTTTCTAAAATGCACTTAAAAATCCATGCCTTAGCTCTTAACTCTACGTCTTTCATCTCAAAGCAAGGCCTGGTCCCGTCCTCACGGAGCAATGACCACAGACAAAGGACAATGAACCGTGCAGGCAGAACAAAGCGATGCTCATTTCAGGAGGGGCCCGGAGGAGCTGGGAAGCACCTCGCTAGGCTCGGGGCCTGCCGGCTTTGGAGTCGGACGACTTGGGTTTGAATCCTGCCTTTGCTAGGCACTAAGCTGTGTGACCGCAGATAAGTCACTTCCCTCAAGTCCCGTCATGAGCAAAATGAAAGGGGCGCTCTAAGGCGACCTGTAACGCGCCTTTCAGCTCTACACCTATGATCCGTCCTATGGGACGGCATTGGAACCGAGTCTTGGAGAGATGGAAGACGGAACAACACTGTCACAAAGGACCAAGAGGTGAGGGAAGGGGGTGGAACCACTGGCTGAGGAAAAAGGCAGGCAGGGCATCCAGAATGAGGTAAAATTTATGACAGAAAAAGAAGCAAGAATCTTAGTAGAAATTATGGGAAAAAACCGATGAAGGGCTACCACCAGATTGTAAAATAGGGTATAAGCAGCATTTGTTTAGTGCTGGACAAAAAGAAGAAACAAGTCAAGGAAACAGAGCAAAGGACCCCAAACCAAGGCCAAATGAATGAGACGGATCCTGCTGTTGGAGGACCCAAGAGAAAGGAACGTGGATCCCACTGTGGTGAAAGAGGAGTTCAGTCACACTTTATAAAACAGACTCATTGTGAGAAATTCTCAAAATTTCAGCCATCTAAAATTTTTCCTAAGACAGCCTTAGGATGAAAATTATTAGAAAAAGAATGGCATTTATCCATTGCAAGTAGCATAAAAAGTCATCAAATGATTGGGAAAATCATTATATGGATTGGGAGGAACAGCTCAACAAACTGTTATGTGATATAATGCAATAGAAAATAACGAGTTATATGTTACATAATTAAACACAGACTAGATGTAGCAGTATATTATATAACTATATATTCCATAAGGAACAGCAAAAAAGAAAAAGAGGAATTTTCAGAAATAGAGAAGCTGTGTGTGACTTGATATAGAGCCAAAGAAGTAACAAGAATAATACAAGAGAAAAGTAAATGAAGAAAACACTGACACAAAGACCACTGATTTCAGGTGACCATGCTTCCTGCCTCTCTGTAGACAGGTGGGGGACCATGCGGGGGTGTGCCACATGTACACACTCCGTGTCAGGGACAAGCTCCATATGGGCTAACTTTGCCTATCTGTTAGTGTATGGGAGGTAGCATGGAGGAACTTTATGGGGAACTGGTGTAAAAAACAAAATGTATCCAAAAAGCAGTTACTAAAGAATAAAGCAGGGGGCAGCTAGATGGCACAGTGGATAGAGCACCAGCCCTGAAGTCAGGAGGACCTGAGTTCAAATCGGGCCTCACTAGCTGTGTGACCCTGGGCAAGTCACTTAATCCCAATTGCCTAAAAAAAAAAAAAAGCATTTTAGACAACAAAAACAGTGCATCTGAAATAAAACATATGGGGAGGGGGAATGTGGTAAATGCTTCTGATAACGTGACATTTGGAACGAATATGAATTGATAAGCGATAACCACTCCTCAGAACAGAATTCTTGGGGGGAGCGGAACAAATTGTTCATCACAATTTGAAAAACTGTTCCAGTTCTCCGACAGTCAGAGAAAGGCCAGGAAAAACTGCTGAGGTACTTGCTCTCCACACGCCCACCCACCTGGCAAAGACCATTCATGCTGAAATGCCATGAACAACCCATGTCCTGGGTTATGGCCTAAGAAAGCTGCCTGAGGCTTGGGAAGATTTAGCAGTCACACAGCTAGCAAGTTTAAGCTGGGACCAGGTCCAGTACTCTACCTCCCAAAAGATAGTTTAGGGGGCAGCCAGGTGGCGCAGTGGAGTCAGGAAGTTCTGAGTTCAAATCTGCCCTCAGACACTTGACACTTACTAGCTGTGGGACCCCGGACAAGTCACTTCACCCCAACTGCTTCACCAAAAAGCAAATTTAAAAAAAAAGTTTAAAGACAATAAGATTTAACATGGGTGGGGCTGTGGGGAAAAAGCTATCCTATCACACTGTTAGTGTAATTGTGAGTTGGTACAATCTGTCAATAAACAATAACTCATAAAAAACAGACACACAATGTGACCAGAACTGATGTTCCAAGGATGCTATTAAAAGGGGAAAAACAACCTCTCTATACAAAATCATTTGCAGCCACTTTATTTGTTAACAATGGAAAAAAGGAAACACCCAGATGCCCAAGACTATGGAATGGCTGAAGTGTGGCATGTTAACATAATGGAATATTATTTCATCATAAAAATGACATAAGAAGAAGACAAAGAAATATGAAGCGGTTCTAAGAAAACAAGTCAGGATGACGATACACACAGCGACTACTGGCTATGCCAAAACAGCAACAAAATCTTACAAGTTTGATGGGAAAGAGATTAGAAAGAAGCACAAAGAAGAAAAAAGTTATTTTGCAAATAGTTCTTTAATTAAAATGTGAAATGTTCAGGGTTTAAGGTTTTATTTGGGATTTTATTTGTTATTTGTTAAGATTATTACTTTTAAAAGAAAACGCTGCCTGGGATGGTGGACTCTTGAGAAATGACACATAGGACCACTGATCTCATTAGAGATTCCCTGTAGTCCTTCCCCCAACCTTCTTTTAAGCCTTCAGTACTCAAGATTCCTAGAGTGAGTATCACTGATGAAACCAAACTGACAAGAGATTAATCAAACAGAAGACTGACAACAAACAAGGCAGGCCGGCCTCGGGTTGTGGGCAGATGAAAAGCTGACCCACAGCCTCCATTTATACCACATCACAGTTAGGCCCGCAGGAGGTGAGGCTGCAGAGGGCAGCCTTGGAGGTCATCTGGCTTAACACCCTCATTTTACCAATAAAGAAACCGAGTCTCTGAGAGAGGAGGTGACTTGCCCACGGTCCCAGAGCCCAGGGCTCTTTCCACTGCATCCCTTTTTTACAACCTATGCCACTATCAGAGGCACTGGTTCCATGATGGATGAAAGAGTTTTCCAAAATCCTGAGGGCTAGAGTGTCGTCGATGCACAGTCAGTGTGGTCAACATACACTACACTTGAATTAGTGTTACTATTATTGTTAATATCTGCAAAGCTTGTACCATGCACATGCTCCAGAAAATGAACGGCAATCCACCCACACTGGCGATCTAGTGCTGGCGCTGGAAGAGGAGTGTTTCAACCCCAGCACTTGCTGTGCGACTTGGGGAGTGCCACCCCCTTCCTGGGCCCCCGTTCCCTCATCTCCAAATTAGCCAAGTTAGCCATAAAGTCCCTTCCAATGCTAATTTCTATGACCTCATATAGATTTTGAAAGAAGTAACCTTACTTCCACTTACTTCTCCAGAAACACCACACTTATGAACAGAATGGAGAAAAGTTAGGGATTAAGGGTTGTTTTTAAAACCTGAAGATAAATAACAGCCTCCCCAAAAATGATGATCAAAAGACAGGATGAGGGGGCAGCTAGGTGGCGCAGTGGATAGAGCACCGGCCCTGGATTCAGGAGGACCTGAGTTCAAATCCGACCTCAGACACGTAACACTTACTAGCTGTGTGACCTCGGGCAAGTCACTTAACCCCATTGCCTAGCCAAAACAAAACAAAACAAACAAACAAACAAACAAAAAAAGACAGGATGAACTTTCCCAGGCTCAGGGGAATAAAAGAATCTGGGAAGAGACCTCCGGTCTTGGCAACTGAGACGAAATCTTCCTGAGCTCAGTATTGAAGCTCAGAGATTCCTGACAATTCTTGTTGTTCGTTTTTCTCCTTCCCGATTCTCTATTCTGGTTACAAAAGGGGAGAAAGTATAGGGCAAAGGGTTCAGAGCAACACAGTGCCATAGAGGGAGCACCGGACTGAACAAGCAGCTGGCCTGAGTCACCAGCCAACCACCTCAGCTCTGATCTCAGTTTCTTTATCTCGAACATGGGGCCAATAATACTTCTATTACCTAATGATTGTTTGTGAGGAAAGCCCTTTATAAACATTAAAATGCTCTCTAAGAGGGAGCCTCATGCTGCAATAATTAAATATTTCCTCTACGAGAGAACACGTGGGAAGCTCGTCAGGATCTGTGTGAATGGGTGACCAAGTGCAGAAGGGCAGCAGCGGATGCCAGCCTAACCGTGAGGAAGTGTAGGGCTCTGTTAAAGTAGGCAAACAGCTACCAGACTGCACTCCGTCTTGGGGAGGGAGGGGGAGAAGATCTAAAACTCAAAAGCTTACAGAAGTGAATGTTGAAGACTAAAAATAAATAAATTAATTAAAAAAAATAAAATAGGCAGAGGGAAAAAAATGCTTAAAATGATGGAGCATGATTCACATTCCTGCTCTAAGTAAGTCTGGAGAAATTTTCTGGAGTTCAAACTTCTGAATGCAGACTTTTGAAGGTGTTCTAGTACTTTCTGCCTAAGGACTTCAAGTTTTCATTGTGTTGTTGATACTGTACTCTTCTGGGTTAACATCAAGTGCTATTTTTCTATGTCTAAGTCAGTCACATTTAACAAATATTTTGTCAACTATTTAGGTAGACAATCAAAGAGTAAGAGAAAATGAAACAAATGAATTCAACCAGACAAATTCAACAAATCTTGAAAAGACTTCATGTTTTAAAATAGCTTCACAAAATCCTTGCACTGAAAGAGCTCCTAGAGTTCTAGTCCAACACCCTTCATCTCATAATTTAGGAAACTGAGGCCTAGAAAAGGCAAGTGATTTCACCAAATGTTGAGCACTTGAGAATGCTGGCTGAACCCTGACAGCCTGCATTTCCTTGGAGTTTGCAGGCTTTTCACTGCAGTCTATAAGGTAAAGAGTAAATTTTCTCAGTTTGCAGAGGAGAAACTGAGGTTCCAAAAGGAAGTGACTGGCTCATGGGGACACAGCTGCTAAGGCAGTACTCAAACCCAACTCATTCGATCGACCTCCACTACACCCACTCTCCTATTAGAGAGAACGAGTCTAGGAGAAAGCCAGGCACTTTGCAGGCAGGAGAGTTCTGCAAGAGCAGCAGAGTATGAGGCCTAGGCTCCAGGCCTCAGGCACCATCAGCACCCCATCACCACCATCATTTTGGTTGGGACCTGTGACGTCACTGATGTCGAGAGCTCGCGGTGCACAAACTCTCTCCACCAATGCAGACTGGCCACTCACCGCTACAACACGTCGATTATTTCTAGGTATGGAGAGTGTACAAATTATATCTGTGTGACCTTGAGCAGAACATTGCCCAACTCCAGCGTAAGGTGCGCTCATCTGTAAAATGGGTAACTTTCAGACACAAAGCACCACAACTGTGTGTGAGACCTCCCTGGGTCGTCACATGTTAAATAAACTGATGAAAACATGAAATGGTGACCTCGTGGCACACAAAGCATCGCACAGAAACTGAGGAATTCATAATGCTGCATTAGAAACAGACGAGAAGTGACACAGAAATGAATACTTTCTAAATGAAATAACACACATCATCCCACCTTCAATGGCTATTCGCCTTTTAGGCCAGTTTTTGTTCTCTCGTGTTAAGAGTTCTTGTACCCGTACGCTTATGACATATTCCTCCAAAGCAAACTCCAGTGTGTAAAACTTTAACAGCTCTAACCATAATTGTCCCAGGGATACCTGATTTGGTATTTCCAACGCTAACGGAGACTGGAAGAGAAAAGATATTTGTTGTCACATAAGCCTGGCTGCAATGCATACTTTGACACTCCAGAAAAGGCTGAGAGCCCCACGGTCATGGATGGGTGCCCCTGAATGTCTGAAGGACACATCTGGCGGTTCCTCTAGGGAGGATTTATGGGAAACCACTGGCAAAAACTGCATTGGATGGGAAGGCACAGAAGGCTTGCAACGTGGTGCCTGATACTGTCTCTGTCACTAATTCGCTGTTACTGGAGGGTGTACCCAAGCCAAGGAAATTACGGCTCTTAGAACAGTGGCTAATTTAAAGGAAATCCATGCTTAAAAGACAAATCCAAACCCAAAGTCAGGAACCCTTCGGAAATCACCTTACGTATCCCTCAGGACTTAGAAAGCCTAGCCATGGCAGAGCAGGCAGGAGCAGGCACCCCCAAGCCACACAGATGCGGGAAGGGCTCACCTTGCCGTGTCTCTCCTTGGTAGCACCGCTCTGGGGGTCTGTTTCCGAGCTGCTGGGCTTCTTGGCACCACTTCTCTGATCAGCTTTTGCTTTACTTTCGGAGGCACCTGAGTTCTTCCCGGGCCCACTAGGCATAGGTTTGTATTCCCACTTCACAAACTTCTCATCTTCGATGCCCTTCAGCTGGTGGTCATCAACTCGTTTTGAGTCAAAACCTTCAATCTGGAACAGAAGTATTCCACACTGGTCAAGGCAAGTCATTAAAAACATCAGCCTAACAGAAAAAACGAAATTTTACCTTTCAAAGAAAAAAGTCTGCAAATGAGTGCATTTCACTGACCAGCGCAGCACCTATTCATTTGGGAACATTTATTATGGGCAGAGCTTTGGGCCAGTGACTTTTAGGAAGATTCAAAGTTTAGATAAAATCCCTGCCTGCCTTCACAGAGCTTACAGACTAGGAGTGGAAAAAAGACAGACATAAACAATCTACCCTATGAAACCCATTGTACTGAGAAGCAACTTCCTGAAGGAGGTGGGCCAGCTTTGGGGCACATCTTTGCCCTGAAGCCCACACTCACAATCAGGGAACCACAGCACAGAAGAAAAACCTCACAGAGCTGCACACTCCAAAAAATCCACCTCCTAAATTTGATCTTGAACTCTGAAGAATCCTGATTAAATCTGTCCTGAAGACAACACATCCCTTACAACCCTGTTTCCACCGGAGGCCCTTCCTTTGCCCATTATCCTTGACCTCCCAGGGCCAGGAGGAGGAGGAGGAAGAGAAGGAAGAGGAGGAAGAGGTATATGCTCTGTTCCAAACTGCCCCTTCAAGGCCAGTCTTCCACCACCCCACTTCATGGCCTGAAGGTTTGTTCAAGGTCCTTAAAATCTACTGGCACCTCACTCTTCCCATCCTCGTCAGCATCACCCACTAACAGCTAGTTTTTAGTCAATGATTCTAGCACTTTCCTCCTCTCCATCCTATGCCCTGACCATCACCCTTGAGGATTTCCAGTTATACTGACAATCCCTCTGACAAACTGAAGACATGATTCCTCAACTTCTCCAACTACAACAAATTCCCTCTATCCCATTTCAACCACATGCTGACCTTCAACCCTGTAACCCCTCAAGATCGCCCTCATTTCCAAGATCCAGAATTTCAAATTTCTACTCTTTGAGCACCATCTTGTTTCCTTTTGCTTCTTTTCTACTAAGAGTCCTCTGTCCGCTGAGTGTGTATGCTCTTTGGTCCCCTGAACTGTCCCTATGCCCCCAAGTTCATCACCCCTCCATGATTTATTCCCAACTCTGTCTCTCTAGCTGACATTAGCCTAATGTCCCTCTTTTGCTTTCCCTACCAGGCACCTGTGGCTGTTGGTCAACTGTCATCTGGCTACTCCACTGTCCTATTTCTGAGTCTGGTCAGAGGATAAATTTACAACCAGAACTAATGGTCCCAAGCTTCTGCCACACATTTCTGCCATCTTGACAAGGATCCTAAATCAGAACTATTTTTTTTTCTCCTCTATCTCCTTGCTCTTCTGACATTACCAATTATTTGTCTGTGACACCACCATTCACCTCCTCTCCTATGTTGTTGCCCTTGGAGTTCCCTTTGACCTGGCCACTCCCTGGATTCCCTTGTCCCATTACCAGGTGCTGCTGATTCTTTCCACCTTCACAACATCTCCAACCCACCTCCATTTTCATTTCCTCTATGACCACTGTCATCACCTGACAATGGGCCCTCATCACTATCCCCACCTAGCCTGCTGCAATGATCTCCTAAGAGATCTTTCTGCCTCCTTTCTCTCCCTGTTCTTGTCTTTCAGCCTTTACACTACTGCCAGAATACATCTTTTTTATGGACCGATCTGGTCTCACCACTCCTTTAGAGAAGTGACTCTTCATCTTTTTTGGGTCATGGACTCCTTGGGCAGTCTGGGGAATTCTACTGACCCTGTCTCAGAATCAGGTTTTCAAATAATTGATAGATGTGCTAAATTTCAGTTAATGAAAATAAACGTGCAATTTCCCCCCCCAATCCAAGCTCATGGAACTTCCTGAAATCTATCTATGGAGCTATTGGTTAGAACCAACATTAACCCACAGGTTAAGAACTGTTCTAGCTCAGGATCTCTGATAGACATCTTCTACCACCTAAACTCCTTCATGCCTCTCCACAGGATGGTGCTGCCCCACATTATCTCACACATTCTATATTTCCACCACAAAGCTAGGCTGCAGGTGCAGTGAGTAGAGCACTCAGCTGCTCACCAGCTGTGTGCCCCAGGGCACACCTAACCTCTTCCTGCTTCAGTTTTTTCATCTGTGAAATGGGGATACCGCCACCCCTGCTTCTCAGTACTGTTGGGAGGATCCAATGAAGTTGTGTTTGTAAAGCGCTCTCATTACTTTTGCCCTCCCTACTGGACTGTAACCTCTGATGGCAAAGATTCCTCTCTCCATACTCCAATCTTCCCTGGCACTAAGAAAAGAATGGTGCCCACAGTAAATGGTTTGTAGCCACCACATGAGGGGCAGGGCTGGCGAAGGGGTGTGTCTGTGGAGAATAAGCACATATTGAGGCAGTATGGTCAGGACCATCTCTCTAGACACAGACAAGAAAGTGTGCACACTTACCCAACTGCCTAAATAGGAAGGAAGAAGAGGGGGCTTTCTTTGTTGAAGAAAAAACATCACCATTAAAGCAAAAGAGTATGAAGGGATCCCCCCTTCAGCCTGGCAGTCAATATGGCATAACTGCAAAACAAAAAAAGGGAAATTAACACCACTTAAAACTTTTACTCAGAAAAAAATAAGCTCTGGAATGCTTGCCCAGAGGAACTTGGAAAATGTACACTAGAACATAGTAAACTCCCATTTATCCAGAATGAAAGAGAAACAATGTGTTGAGAAGGGAGCCCTGGCCCTAGAACCTAAAGACTTGGTCTCAAGCCTTCTGGCCACTCACTAGCTGGTGACCTCAGGATCCCATTTTTGAAAGGGAGCAGTAACACTCAGGGTGTCTATACCTCCCACAGGTGCTGTGAGGACCGAGTGAGAAAATACACATAGACGTGAGCAATTCTTATCAGGGACAGGGTATTCCAATTCTCAGCATACTCTAGTTAACAGAGAGTTACTACCCAGTTGTCTACAGGTACACAAACACATCCAGGTATATATCTCTCTAGCCTCTGCTAATGTTCTGCTCATCATGACCTCTCATGACGCTGAGGGGGTTCTAGGTTCTAGGTTCTGCTAATGGGACCCAGAAGAACTGGTAGAGCCTCCTTCCCGGCCACAAAGCTCTGAGGGTGGCCCAAAAGGCTGACTGTATGCCTGTCACCTGAGGACGGTAGAGAGGCTCATTGTCCTAGGGTTGGAAACCAGGTTATTAACTATTTTTGGCCACAGCAATTGATGAAACTACTGAATGAGGCATGAAGGGGTGGAGATTCAGAACTGGCAGGGGCATCACCCATAAAGATGAAGTTGTGGCTCCTTGAAGGAACTACCTGTATTTACTGTATAGGTGTTATTGTTCAGTCATTTCAGTCGTGTTAGACTGTTGGTGACCCCATTTGGGGTTTTCTTGGCAAAGATACTGGACTGGTTTGCCATTTTCTTCTACAGCTTATTTTACAGATGAGGAAACTGAGGCAAACTGGGTGAAGGTTTGTCCAAGGTCCAAGGTCACACAGCTGGTAAGTGTCTGAGGCAGGAGTTGAACTCAGTTGAAGTCAACTGAGCCACCTAGCTGCCCCATTTACTGTACACTGATGAACTACTTTCAAGAATTATACGCTTGGAGACCTGGAAAGCCTTACGCGGACCGGTGCTGAGTGAAGGGAGCAGAGCCCGGAGGACGCTGCGCACAGTAACAGCCGCACTGAGCGGCAACTGGCTCTGACAGACTGGGCTCTTCTCAGCAATGCAAGGATCGAAGGTGACTCCGAAAGACTCACAATGGAAAAACGCTGCTCACATCCAGACAAAGGGCTCTGGAGTCTGAACGCAGATCGAAGCAGGTTATTTGCTCTCCTTTTCCTTTGTTGTTCTGTTTTATTGCTTCATTCTTGTGGTTCCTCCCATTAGTTCTAATTGTTCTTTACATCATGACTAATGGGAAAATACGCTTAATATGAATGTATAAGTAGAACCTATATCAGATTGCATGCAGTCTTGGGGAGGGGGAGAAAATTTAAAACTCAAAATCACATGGAAGTGAATGCTGAAAACTAAAAATAAATAAATTATTTAAAAATAAAAAAGAATTACACGCCTGGGTCTTCGATAGAAGACAGAAAGGAAGAATGCCCACACAATGGAGGACTTCTGGAGGCAAGGACGAGGAATGTCAAGGAAAGGGTGATACAGATGGGCTGGCGAAGGAGCTTATGTTCTGAAATGAATGCAACATCAGAAACACAAGGCTGCATTTGGCGACACTGGGACTTCATCCTCCTTTGATGGGTTCTCATTGGCGCAGGGGGCATTTAGCCTGAACCTCAGCAGGAGCCACAGTTCTGGGTTCTACTCCCAGGCAGTGGTTCTGCACAGAGGAGCCCAGACTAAAAGAGAATATTCCTACAAATAAGAGTCTCTTTCAGATGCCAACAACTGTCAGAACTCCCAGTTCTTGGGTCAGCAGTAAACAGTGATTGTCTGATAGGTAACCAACTCCACTGACTTTGATTAGTTTGAGATAAGAACCCTCACCAGCTGGAGATAAAGGGAACTTTATCTAGAGACTTCAATCCCCTACCAGAAGGTTAAGAGTGCAGTTACTCTGACAATGAGATTGCCAGGATGTGATAAGTGGTCAGATTCATTCTGTCCTAAAGTGCGCACAGTAAATAGTCAATTAATTATAATGTTTCAGGTATGGGTATAAACTCTATTGCAGCTTTTTTGAGCTTAAACGAAAGGAAATTGCATATACTTCACTAGATGTGTGAGCACAATTTCGAAGATTTAAGAGGAAAAAATATTTGCCAGAGACCAGGCGGCATAATTAATACAATAGCCAATGAGTCATTGGCAACAAATTGGGAGAATGAGAACTATGAAATTTTAACTAGCACGAGAGGCCAGTATGTCCTTGTTGTGATCCAAACAACAGCCTTTCAAAGCTCGACCAGGGCCCCTCAAAGCACAAATTCCTTGGGGGAAATCAAAGAAAAAAGAGACTACATGCCAAAGGCTGAGTGAAGATTCAATGAAATGCCCCAGTGAAACAGGGACCAGGCTCTATTTTGAAGGTGATAGTAAAGAGAGAGTGGAGACTGAAAAGTTGTGGCAACGTGGCGGTGGCATGTAAAGGAATCTAATATTTACGAAGATACTAAAGGAGAATCCAAGCTGACAACTCTCTGACCCAACTATTCTGTCCCAAGCTGCATTGGAAAGGGTATATTCTTCAAAGATCCACACCCAGTCTCACCCAAATGCCTGCTCTACACACACGGTTGGAGACCAGCATGCCTGAGGAGAAAGGTGTCAAAATGCGCTATGGGTCACTCAAACAAACTAAAATATAATTGGGAAGTGTTGAACAAAATAAATAAAAAGGCAATAAGACAAAAACAACGTTAACGTGAAGTTTTCTGAGTCAATACGCAGCCAGGGATATGTTTCTTGATTGACTCTGACACCACTGCCTTAGGAGATGGTTAAAGAAGTTGCTGTTGCCAACAGAACTCATTACCTGGTGACCAGTCCTTTACCTTTAGATTTTCACCAAGAGTTTTTTGCTGGGCCTTTCCTTGAAGACTTTTCCAGCCTAGTGGGATGGAAGGTCCCAGAGCTTACGTGAACCCAGGACAGTTTGCCCCGATGCCACAGAGAGGCAGCAGAGAACTTTAGCTATCATGTTAGTGCAAGAAAAATCCTGGTAAATTCTCAAAGTGAGCTATTTTCTCCTAGATTCCACTTACCCTAGCCCAGTAGCGAAAAGCTAACACCAAGGGGGTTAGGACAGGCTCTAGCTTGCCAAGAGCAGCAAGCAAATCAGTTGTGAGGCATGCCACATCATTTCCAGCGCTCACCTTACAGGTTAAACCACTGTCAAGAAAAGAGAAACAAACTTAATTTTAATCACCCAACACCTTGGACAGTCTATCACACCCAAACCTATGGCTATCCTTCTGATCTCATATCATTTCAAAGTATAAGAAATTCCCCCAAAAGCAAACATTCACCGAGTGCAAAGGCGCCAAGCACAGATGCAAAGATGAAAAATGGGCACCCCCAAAGAAGGAAGCCCTTCCTATTACCCACCTGATCTGTACGACGGCCTTACTTCATTGTCATCTTGTCTGGGCAAACTTTCAACAAATATTCATTTGTGGGTTATGTTAACACACCGAGCCATCTACCAAGCTGGGTGGTGGTTTAAATGGTATCTTTAAAGTACCTAGAGTTTCATAGCTGGAAGCAATCTGAGCAATCATTGAGTCCAAAACCCTGATTTTAGAGGTGAGGAAATGTAGGCCCAGAGTGGTCTAGTGACTTCGCCAAGGCCCCAAAGTCAGTAGCAGAGTCCCACAAAGAACACAAAAAGATCTCAGATTTTAAAAGGATATTGGTCAGCTGATCATTTCCTCTGTCTTTCATCTTTCCTAATCTAACTCACTAGTTGTCTCTCTCTCTCTCTCTCTCCATATCTATGTATGTGTGTATATGAAATCCCTTCTATTCAAAAAACTTCTTCCCTATCATCACAATTTATTGCATGATCTAACCTTTTTCCCCCCTTAAAGTTCATTTTCTATAGTCCCAGCTTTTGTTATCACTCCCTTTTACTTTCCACCAGGCTCATTTGTGTGTATATATGTTACATTTCCCCACCTCCTCGAAGGTAAGAACTGGGTCATTTCTCATCTTTGAACCCCCAGTGCCTAGCACAGGAACCAGCACAGTTAGGCACTTAATATCTGCTGGATTGAATTATCCTTCGAACAGTCTCTTGGCCACAATGCCCCTACAAATCCAGACTTTTAGGGAGTTACCTGGTCTTTTCTTGAAGACAAATTATTTTCAACCACAATGGGATAACTTATAGCCTTTCAAAAGGATATGCTGTGAAACAAAAGCAGGGGTGGGAGTAGGAAGCATAATCCAAGGAGGTTAGTGAAGACTTAATTGTTTGGGCACCTCTGCCCTTGTTGCCCCCTACTCTGTGCACAATGATCATTCAGGGTTGATATTTTGTTTTTTCATACCTGATTAGAAGGTCAAAGGACACATCAAAGTTTCAGCTAACGACAGGACACTCAAACGTAAGGTTGATGACTTACGTATACCCTTTTAGAAAGGCCTACTCGCCCAGAAGCGTATATCTTTTGCTAAAAAGTGCATTATTTTTAGTAATTGGGACTAGCTTCTCAGAGCGGTTCAGAGACCCAAAACGGGGATTTTCTTGCTTATTCACTATATTGTTGTTCTTTAGTTAAAAGAAAAAACCAATTCCCACTTTTTTTATCTGCCATCATCACAACCAACCTCTTCACATCTTTGCAAAAGACAACAGGAACTTTGGCATGGAAGTCAGACTCCACCTCTGAGTATAATGCTGATAAGGAGAAACAAACAAACGTAAGCAAGCTGTGTAAACAACAATTTAAACGACATATTCCTTCCAGAATCTCATTAGTGATTTCTCAAAGATAATTCACTTTTCATTATCGGCACTGGAAGACTATCACCTTTTTCTCCGTACTTGCTGTGCAAGGAGGAATTAGATCAGGAACATTATAGAAATTCTCATCAAATTTTTCAAAAGAGGAATCCACATCCATAAAGGATCAACTATTTTCCCCGTCCAAAGTGCCCTCTATTTTGTTAAGCATGTTTTCTGGTAAGAACTGAGCTTTCTTAAATCGAAAAAATAGCCCACAAGAAGCCCGTGGTGACTACCTACAATGAATGGGTTAAGAGTTTAGGCTTTCCAATCTGCACGCAAACAGAAAGTTGCTAACACTGCTATACAGTTAAAATTCCTGCTGTTGCATGGACCCAGGTCCAGTGGCACCAATATGGCCCTAGTACAAACAGGATGTTGCACATCTGTCTATCTCCTTCCTACAGCCCTCCACTATAGACCCAATGCCCCAAATATACAAAAATGAGTGACCTGGCTATTTTATTTTCAATTTACAGAAGATATCCAAAACTGGTCAGAATAAGCTGGGAGAAACCTGGACTAAAGATATGTGATGCATATTTATATATATTTTGCTCTACAAAATCCTCCTGATTTTTCCAGAAAAAATAAAAAATAGCCAAAAGGAAGATAAAATCTAAAAGGTAAAGGAAGTAGTTTGTTGTAGTGGCGGGGAAAGTACTGAACCTGGAGCCAGGACATCTGGGCTTGAATCCTATCTCAAATTGTGGCCTTAAACTATTGGTACCTCAGTTTCTTCAACTATAAAATGGGAATGCTATCTGTAGTATTTCCCTTCTAAGGTAACTGAGTCATTTCTATTATTATTATTATTATTACTATTAAAGATAATGACATGAAGTAGAGGAAAGAAAGGTGTGTAGAATCATGCAGGTGACTGGGCTGATGGTAGGCATACAGTGGAAAAGAACAGGACAGGGCTAAGGAGATGCGGAGCTTGGAGTGGACGGGCTTTAGAAAGGTAACCCCTGAGCCAAATGCACATCTTTTTTTACTAAGCACTTTAACCAAATTTAAAAAAAACCACAATAAATCAAAATGTGAAAAATAATAGTCACTGAAAATATCTTTACATTTCTTAAAATCAAAATTAATATATGAGATGTTAAAAGCAGCTTCTTGTGAACAAGGATCATTTCATCCTTTGGCTCTGTGTCCTTAACATTTAGCATAGTGCCTGGCACATAAAAGGCACTTAATACATGTTTGATTGACAATAAATATTGTTTGATTGAGAGGCTCAAGTATCCTGGGAAGGGCAAAATGAGAAAGTAACCAGACACACTCTTTAAAAACAGCTCACAGTTTGTTTTGGGACAATTTGTGCTGAGTTTTGGGCATACAAAGACAAAGACTGTCTAATTAGTATATAAAGTCTTCCTTAGAAACAGATTTCCTGACCAATTTTAATGGTCGTTCTGCAACCCAGAGCAAATCAGAAAGATGAGGCACATTTACTGTGTGTGCAAGATTATGTTTTCAGTAAAGCACTAAACTAGGTTAAATCTGGGGTTATAAAACATCTTCAAATTCACAGAAAAATCTATTTTCCGTACTGGCACCCCTCCTCTTTCAAAGTCTCTCACTACATCCCTCTTTTCACGATTAGAACTAGTTATCTTTTTTGGCATAAGGACTTCTGCTTTGACAATATTCAAAATAAACAATCAAAAACCCAAATGGGGGCAACTTTTAACATTATTGCTTTAATTATACTTACTTTTGACTTTTCTAGGTTGCAAATAATCTTTTCAAGAGCTAGCATAGCTACTATTTAAATCCTAGGATAAGTGAACTGAAAGAAATAAATGTTTTATCTATCCCAGGACTCAAATGTGCTAGGGATATGAATTTTAATTTTGTTAGCTACACAAGCAATTTAAACTGAAAATATTCTAACACACCCTTCTTTGGAAAGTGTCAATTAAAAAAGAAACTTACCACAGTTTTTTAATATGTCAAGCACCTGAATCAAAACATCTGGGTGACTCATCTAAAAAAATTACAAGGTAGAATCAATACAGGTTTACAGTCCAAATAGCAGAACATCAGAGTAAACTCAACTCCATGAAAGGGCATTTTAATATAAAATTACTGTCATTATTTTAATTTAAAATTATAGAAATGAAAAGAAAATCAATGTGTTTTATGTTTTTATTTACCATCTCAATCACAGAAGTACAGTTAAGCAAATTTTGTGGGCTTGAGTATTTTGCAGAAAGAGAACTTGACTCTACAATTTCGTTGCAAAAGCAAAGGGGACAGTCAGTGTTCTGAATGGTTGTTAGGGATGATCTGAGTTGGGAACTATCAGCAGACTGCCCAAGAAGCTTACCACCAAAGTCTGCTCCCAACAACAAGCTCGTCAGTGCTGATGTTTAATATCTAGTACACTGCTGTTAATGAGAGAGATGGAACAGAAGCTGTGACAGACTCACGTTCTCCCTGAACCAAACTTCAAAAAGGTACATTTTCTGACTCAACAAATCTGATTTCAAGATCCATGTACACAAATGATTAAAGAAAAATCTGCTCCCTGTACACAAGCCAGGCAGTGAGGCAGAGCATGAAAAGGCCTGCCCCTGACGGTCAGGAGGCCTAAGAGGAGACACCCCTTGAAGGTCAGGGGATCAGCCACTTACCTCTCTGGCCTCCTCTGTAGGTCCAAAAGGATAATAGTCTAACCAGACTCCCATAGCTTTGTTGGGAAGAAAGCTTTTTGTCAACCTGGGAGTGCTCTCTCGAATGGTGAGCCGTTGCTATTATGATAATAATGGTCAGCCTCTACAAGAGGGCGAGGCACCCACTCAGCCCCCTTCTGCTTAGGAGCATCTGCACAGAAAAGTACTTGCAGGACTCAGGCCTAAAGAGGCTACTACCCTCCTTACTTTGGGGAAATTTTCACCAAACAAAAGCAACGCAGAGATACTAAGTTCAGAAGACCATTGACAGGGTTCTTTTATGGCTACTTACCTTGGGTGGAAATTTTACATCTATATTAACATCACTGCTTTTAAAAGCAAACCTAGTCAGAGAGGAGCCATACAGCCTAAGCGAACAGTCTGGAAGACAAGAGAAGTGCATTAGGCATAAAACACACAAGATAATGGTGCCCTAAAGAAATAACAGCAAACGAACCACAGACAAGCTTTTCTGTGTCTCCCTTCTTTCACAGGTGAACTCTGACAGGCCACAAGACCAAGCAGTTCTATGGTTCAGCTACTGAGGCAAGGCAGCTGAGCATCAAACTGCAGACTTTAATGTTATTTTCATTAACAATTTAACTCGGAGAGAATGGAAAGCTAAGGACACATGCGAACTTGGCTACAAACCACTGAGGTTCTGACCATCCAGCACAGAGACTATTTACTATACATAAGAAAACAGCACATCTGGGCTAGAAGAAAAGCCAGGAAGACTCAGTGTGGATGAGCTGTTCAGTGCTGAAGTACAGCCACATCATGAATAACCACCAATACCAATGACTGCAACGGGGATCTTCTAGGATGCCGTGACTGCGAGTCTATTTAGAAGAGAGGTAAATGGGGGAAAACGGTACGGCCCGGACCACCTCACACTTAGTCCCAACGGGACCAGTCTGAAAGACAACACACATTTAGGAGGCTGAGGATGAACGGGGCAGCCTCTCCTCTGGCTAAGGTTAGCGTTAACAATGATTAGCTTTGGAAAGGTGAGGGAGTTCTCCCTAAACCGTGATTTTGTCTCAGTCTCTTCTTGATGTAGAAAAGCTTGACTTGTTATCAAATGTTTGCAAACGATCTGGCTAAGCCAAAGAGGTACTGGTAATTTTCTCTTTTGCATTTTTATAATGTCTGTATTTAAAACTAGGACAAAATTCACCTATTAGGAAAACCCTTCCTATTTCCAAGATACATGATTGGGTTTGTGAGTGCATCTGCCCTGCTGGTGTCAAGCACAATACTTCCAGGCCTCAGCAAACTCTTTCATGAGTTGCTATGACCAAAAACAATCATCACCTTCTGCCAAAGGTTCTGATAATGAACCTTCCTAAACTTAGTTAAAGCTGATTTTTTCAGACACCAGCCCCATGGGCCTGCAGCCAAAGCCTTGCAGACTGGCCAGATGGACCAGAGCCTCCTCAAGCCACGGGCAGAGCCCTAAGGCCCAGAGATGTACCATCGTGAAGGAGGAATACCAAAGGTGCCAGGACCACTCCGCCTACACTAACCTCCCAGGATCTGGCTAGCCCCAACCAATGTAGGAGAAAAACGCTTCAAACGCTTGAACCCGCTAGTTAATACAAATTACAGTGATAACTAAACATTTCTTTCCCAATCAAAATCTAATCAATCATCCATCTTCTCATCTCTTGTGTTTTCTTCTGCAGAGTTCGCCCATCCCTTTCATTCTGAATCAGAAGTGGTCTCCACTAATGCCTCACTCACTGGGGCGTGCTATGGTGTGGTACGGATGTGACCCTGGGTCCTTGACGGCTCCATGCTAGTGCGACGCCATCTTTGGCATGCTACATGAGGGAAGGAGGCACTACTCAAGGGTCAGTCTAGCTAAGCTTGGACAGTCTCACCACCACATTGGCCGTAGGGGGATGAACTTTTCAGTCACAGCAACTCAAAAAGGGCTCTTTCTCAGTGTAAAGAAGGGGCTATGTGACCTGTAGGGAGAGGAGGAACTTAGGGATCAAAAGCATGATCTTACAACTCCAATCTTGAGGACGCCTGCTGGTAAGGCAGGGATACCTTCTAGCAGACACACATTTATTTACTTAAATTCTCTCTTTGTAAAACAGAAACTTAAAATGATCAGCTCTTCACAATACAAAAATATTACTCTCCTTGGAGTCCCTGCAAGGCAGAGAAAAACTGCCTTTTAAAGCAAAAATTCAAAATAAACCCTTTTTTTAAGATAGAGAACATGGAGGAAGAAGAAGATGAGAGGTTCTGTGCCAGGCCTTAGAAGAAGAAATAAAACGCCCTGGTTGAGGATGATGGTGATGACGATGAGCGACCCCCTGTACCTGGTAAGCGCTGCTGCACAACCTTTTCCATTTCGGTCACAATTTCCTGCCGGAACCCAAAGTCAGTGTCAGAAATTCCTTGTTCCTTTGCTGCTTGCATGAGGGTGGAGCTCAAAGCAGCCAGCTGGGCAGGAGAAGGGGGTGGCAAGGCTCGGAGTTCATTTTCTTCCTGCTTTTCCTATCAAGGGACACAAAATTACAAGGTGAAGTTATGAACACAAGAGGCAGCGTGAAGCAGCCTAGAGGCCCCTGAGTTTGGAATCAGAGGGCCTGGGTTTCAGTTCAATAAACATTTATGAAGTGCCTACTGCGTGCAAGGCCTTCTGCTAAGCACCAGCTATGAATCCTGTTTTATTACCTACTAACTCTGTGACTTGGAGCAAGTCACTTAATCTCTGGCACCTCAGTTTTCTCATCTACTAGGGTGAGGGGCCTGGACTAGATCATCTCTACCTAAGGGCCCTTCCAGCTCTAAATCCTATTTCCAATTCAATTCAAAAATATTTACTAGGCACCTACTCAGCACCTAATAAGCTTAAAATCCAGCAAGGAGAGGCAACATGTACATACATTAATATGATAACATCAAGAGAGAGAAAGCCAAAGGCCTCATAGAGGAGGTGACTGAGCAGTGCTCTGAAAGAAGCAAGGGGCTCACAAGGGTCCAGGTGGAGGAGAGAGTGCATTCCAGGCACAGGAGGCAACAGATGGAACGTTTCACCCAAGGAACAACACAGCAGGCCTGACCAGAAGAAGGCCCACGTGCAGAGGAATCAAAAGAAGACAGACCAGAAAGGTGAGAGCCAGAGGAAATGTCAGGGTGAGAAATTCCTATTTTACTTGAGAGGCAATAGCACAACATTAAAGACTTTTGAGTGGGGGGCAGGGTCACATGGTCAGATATGTACTTTGGGAATACCAATTTAGCAGCTATTTGGAGGATAGTTTAGAACAGAAGGGAAGGGTTAAGCATTTATCTAGCACCTACTATGTTTCAGGTACTATGCTAAGAACTTTATAAATATTATCTTATTTGATCCTCACAACATCCCTGTGAGGCCCTCATTTTACAGTTGAGGAAACTGAGGCAAACAGAGGTTAAGTGACTTGCCTAGGGTCACACAGCTAGGAAGTATCTGAGGTTAGATTTGAACTCAGGTCTTCCTGACTCTAGCCCCAATGCTCTTATCTACTGAACCACCTAGCTGCCTCTAGAAAGGGAAGAGACGACGCAGGGAAACCAATTAAGAGGGATTGCAATAACTTGAGGAGAGTATGAATTAAGGTAGAGGCCTAAAAATGGGATGAAGAAGACAGAGGCAAGAGATATTGTAGAGGCAGCATCAATAAGACTTGGAAAACTGGCCACAGGGACTGGGAGAAAGGGAAGAGTTATGGACTCTACAATCCGAGGGATCAGAAAGATGGTGGTACTGTCCACAGAAATGGGCACACTGGGAGGAAGAGTGGGTTTGGAAGGAAGGAGGAATTCTGCTGTGCATGTGTTTTGTTTAAGAAGATGACAGGAAGTCTAGGGAGCACTGTCCAGTAGAGAGCTGGGAACCTGGGACGAGAGACAGAGAGGACAGGGCCCAGGACACAGCCACAGAGGCATTCACAGTTAGGGAGCAGCAACGGCAGGATCTATCTCATGAGAATTTAGGTCAGTCAAACGAAGTGAGAGAATCAAGAGAAGACAAAGTCAGAGAAGCCAAGAGAAGAACACTGTGGCCAAAAGGCAAGAAAGGTCAGAAGCAGCAGCTAGGTAAAGGAGGAGGGCTGAGAAAAGGCCAGTGGTTTGAGCAGTTAAGAAATAATCAGCACACAGAAAAAAACTGTACATGGTTTTGAAAAACTTCCTATTGCACTGAATGATATCAGAATGCCTCATTCTTTGCCTCAAACTACCAGCATAGCAGGTGCCACGGAGCAGGTGTTTGTGTTACAGATAAGACAAGAAGACTTTGTTTCGGCTGCAGCTTAATGTCCTGTATTGTAATTTTGACATGATCCAGCTGCAAAGTAGATACCCTTGTCCCTAGGGACAGGGGAAAAGGGCAAACTTTTCTGAAAACACTACATACGCACATCCCCTCTGATGCCAGGTGACTCTGGGAAAACCCAGGATGGTTGGATTTCATGCTGGAAAGTACCCTGGAGACCATCTAGTCCAATCTCCTCATGGCAAGCAGAACAACATGGGGGAGGCAGGGAAGAGGTTAGTTCCATAGGAATGTTTGTATATGAGCAATAAGCAATGTGGTAAAGAGAAGCAGACAAGCTCAGGGAATTAATGGCATGGGGAAAGGTGCCAACGCTCCCTCAGATCACTGCTGACCACCAATGGTGGGCACCTCGGGCAGCTGGCTGTCATTAATGGGCTATCACCAAACCCCACCATAATGACATCATGAAGAAATAACACTGGTTGGGGCAACATTACACATTCTCTGCCTCTGCACAATGGATCGCCACTTGGTTTACAGTAATGCTGTCTGAGGCACTTCTGACTGGCAACTAGCTTTTCTCAGGCTGAGCCTAGACCAGACTGTCACAACTGCTCTACCCTAAGAGAAGCTCCAAAACTGAATCGAGCCAAAGAGCTTAAGGGGGACGAGACTGACCATGACTAACTCTACATACGATCCAGGAGGAGAAGAAGGGTCCCAACGTGCTTGTGACAGAGCTCCCAGCGCTAGTCCTGCCTCCAGGCAGCCCGCCCCCAGAGGTTAGTTCATTGTTAAATTAAAATTCTCTCTGTCATGAAAGCTTGGCTAAAGATGAAGCTCACCTAGCCTTGGGAACTCTAAAGCCAAGGAAGCAAGATAAGTCCCTTCTTTAAAGGTCCTTGGGTCTATCTGCAATTCCCAATTAGGTATGCTTCTTGGCCAAGCACCTAGGTTTGCAGGCCCGCCTTTCTTCTTAAAGGGTTCAACCAACAGGGCATATTAGCAGCATGTTTAATGAGAAGATGATGCAAGAATACTTTAACAAAATTATTTTCACCTACACATAATGCTTTGTGTAGACTGGATCCCACAGGACCACAAACAGCTGACTGGGAGGTGGAAAATTCAGTGGGATGAGCCAATGGTCCAGTTGTTGGGAGAGACATGGAAAGAGCGAGCCAGGGATCATTGGATCTGGTGTTTTTAATAGATCTCTGCTCTCATAGTGTTGAGTGATGACAGGTTCAGATGAATGAATAAATGAACGAATGAAAGAAAAATAATGTTACATGACATGTTCTGAATAGTTTGTTGGGTAGTCATGGAAATCAAATACAAAAGGCAGTAAGTACCCAGTACAGAGCTAAGGAGGTACATTAGAGGTACCACTCGAAGTAAGGAGGCAAATTCAGAGACAAATCTTTTTTTAAATAGTTACCTATACTAAATTATTACCAAAAGGCACACAAAGTCTACCCCCAAAGATCAGATACCAAGTTTACCCATGTGGAAGAAGCAGCTGTGGCCAGAACAACAAAAAGGCCATTAGCCTGTCCCTTCACACCTTTTTTAATTTGATGACCTCCAGCCCGGAGGAGGGGCACCCTGCTCCCTATACAGGTCCTCCTCCCTGGCCACATGACATAAGGAGGGAGCAGGCCACCACGTGGTGGACTGCTGCTCCTAGGTAAACATTCAGATTTTAAGAAAATGGAAAGTGATTTGATTGGCCTTTGAACAAAAACTTGAATGGGACATTCTTTTTTGACGTGAAAATTTAAGAAACAAACAACAAAACTTACCGTGATGTTTTTCTTATGCCGTTTCTCTTTTATGTGCTTATGTGCTCCCTGGATATTTTCAATATGAACTAAGCATAGTTTGCATAGATATCGGCAATTGGTGTATTCCGGGGAGCGCTGAAAGAGAAAAGTAAAAAGGTAACAGAGGACACGAAGCCTACAAAACACCCAAGCTTGGCTGTTCACATCAAACTTTCAAATGCACTTTTCTTAAGGTTACAAAGAAGCAAATTTACCAGGAACAAATTTAGGAGACAGAAAAGTGAAATTTCATGGGGAGAATTGTCACGTTCTGCACTTGTGTGGAGAAACTCACCTGCCCCAGTAGAGGGTGGGGAAGATGTGGTCAGCAAACTGCTCATGTGCCCAACACTCCAGGCCCTGGGGCAGGTACTGCTGCCCACCCATACTCAACAGTAGGCCCCCGCCCTACAGCATGGCTGACACGCAGCACTGCAGCTCAGGCCAGATGGTCATTCAGGGTTTTTAGTAACGGTAGAAGTAAGAACAATGCCCCCCGGAAGCTGAGCTCAATCCGCACCATCCCTTAATACTGACATTGTTTTTCCAGGCGTTAGCCTGACCTAATGAGGTCCTCAGAAGGGACTCTACTGCAACATCCCTCAGAAAATTAAACATTTTAGAATGTAAAACTGTGGATATCAAGGACCATTTCTAAATCTGTCTTCATTTATACTCTTGACTGGGGGGGGGGTCAAGAATATAGCCTCAAAAAATACTTCAGGAATCTATTTTGTAGTAACATAATAGTAATGATAATGATCGTTACAGATATAGTTGGTTCTACCAGACCTAAGCAGACGGTATGTGTTTGTAGGAAAAGAGAAGAAAAGAATGTGGCAGGATTGCCCAATCTAGATCAGAGAGTGTAGATCTAGAGCCAGAACACCTGAGTTCCAATCCTGTCTCTAACACCTATTAGCCATACGATCAAGAAGAAATAATTTATCTTGAGACTCACTTTCCTCATTTGTAAAACAGAGGCCACAATAGCTGTTGTACTCCCCAATTCACAAGGTAGTTGTAAGAAGAGTGCTTTTATCAATGGGAATATGGATGATGATGCTAGAGATCCCTGCCATGATGCAGAGATGTCTATGACCTGCTTCCCATGTGAGTACCATCCTCCTCACTCCTCCCACCAGGCTGCCACTAGAGCCCATCCCTCCTTTGGAGAAGAAACATGGTGGAGTGAGAAGACCTAAGTTCTGAGGGCTACTTTCACCCCTTTAGGCTCAAATTTCTCTCTCTTACATACAACACCCTCGCTCTGACTACCTCACAGGGCTACTCAAAGGACCAGGTCAGCTAATGCAGACAGAAAACCCTTGCGAAGTTGTGAGACATTGGTTATTACATCAAATTCTATGGCTCTGTGGTAGATGAGCCAATCAGTGGCAACACAGGATTTATAAACCAGAAGAGATTTGGGAAGGGTGATCCTGCTGAGTTTTAAAAGGCAGAAAAGGGAAGGCTTCTTTTCAGTTCCCAACACTCTGCACGTCCAGTTGGAAACATGGTACGGGTTAATAGGGCAAAAAGGCCTTAGAAAAAAAGAAATGAAAGGACAGAAGAGGGTATGGGTCTTTGGAGGTAAATCAATCAATCAGGATACTTTTATTAGACTCCTACTAAGTGAATGCCCCAAGCCAAAAACAAACCATATCAGTCTCCCTTGCCATTTCTTCTGGCCCAGCCCTTTACCAATCACAACTTTCTTCCTCTTCCCCAGGAATATACCAGGCTGCTTTCCACTGCCAGAACCCAGAGAAGAGCTGAGTCCAAAATGTGAGATGGGTGGGGCAGAAACACAAAAAGAGCAGTAGGGACACTGTGTTTGGGGTCTCCTTCAATCTGGAGGCCTTACGGAGCACCCAAGGCCTTCAGTAAGGCTGGCCTCCCTTTCCTATCCTCCCTTCCCTCTCCTTTCCCCTCTCTCTTCTCTCCTCTTCCCCTTCCCTCCCTTCTCTCTTCTTCTCTTCCCACCCCGGGGTTAATTGGCTAATCTACCATTAGTTCTGGCCTCCCCCACTCCAAGTTGGACCTCTTCCAGCTGAATGAACTCTTCTTCCCCAGTCCTTTCCTCAATTATCAGGAAAGGCCACCACTCCAGCTTCCTCAGACTCCCACTAAGAACTCTCTCCCCTCATGATCTGTGTCCAACACACTGGTCCTTCATCGTTAACTCAGTCATTAGCCCCCCAGTTTGTCAGGGATGAATGGCAAGGGAGAAGGCGTGTCTGAGTGAAGGAGGCATACAAAGAACACAAATGTGTGGAACCCAAAACTACTCCACAAGAGATACTACCCCCTGGGGGGACAGGAGCACAGCCCACCCTGGGAGGGACAGCCATGCAAGGAGAAGAATGAATGAGAAGCCGCGCAGCCCCCAGCCCCCAATAAGCCAAGGAAGATAGTCTACTTTTTCCAGTCGAAAGATGTAATCGCGCTCCAGGCGCTCCTCTGCCTGCTTCAGCCCCAGCTTCTGCTCCGGGGTGAGCATTGACTCATCGATCGTGGTGACATTTTCCAAGTAATCCAGCTCTGAAGGAGGGTCTTTCGTTGGCTCAGCACTCTTCATTTTACCTGGAGAAGGAAGCCAAGCGGGAAGTCACTGTTACCAGAACCACTGGGCAGTTAAGGAGGAGGAAGAAGAGAGCTGCCACTTCCTGAGCGGGGCACCTGCTGACCCATTACAGGGACAGTGCTGTCTGGGAGCCACCCCACACTGAAAGACCTAAAGCAGACTCAGGGGGACCTAAGTCACCCCAACACAGCACCAAGAATGACACACTTTTCTAGGGGGCTTTAAGGTTTACGAAGCACTCTCCCTGCCAGGCACTCACTGTGAGATAAGCCTCACTGCCCAGTTTTACACCTGAAGAAACTGAAGCTCCAAAGAGTCCAAGGGGTTGCCCATGGTGATGTAGGAGCCAGGATTCAGACTCAGGTCCCCACCCAGTCTCCTCACACTGCAGCTCACCTGCTGCTACTTCTAGAGCCTCCATGGAGTTCACCCACACCTGGGGGAGAATGTAAAGGGACCCCAGAAAGGAAACACAAGCTTGAGGTGAGTGGCACTGAAGGTGCTGCCCTGCTCCTTTTGGCCCTCCCTACAGGTAAAGGTCATAGCCCAAAGCTCCAGAGATGGACACCACAAGCACGAGAGGAGAGGGCCGAGGGAGACCCATGCGCGCTAGAAGCCAAGTAACTGACTTGTGCCAGGTCACACAGCAAGTTAAGAGAAGAGCCGGGCCTCTCAGCTTCCCATTCAGGGTTTTTAAAGCAAATAAACTACAAAGTGAATCAGTAGCAGTAGGATTTTGGGATCAGAGGCTCCCAACATGAGTTCAGACTGTCCTGAGCAACACTGGGCTCCAAACCACGCGAGTTCCTGTCCCGCTGTCCCCAGCCCTGGACAGGCTCCCTGACACCCAGTGTCTTTAGCTCTGGTGGGCTTTCTCTTCACTGACACAGGTCAAGACTCCGAAGTGAAATGAAATCCATCACCCAGTGGCCAACCTTCTGTGGATGAATGCTCTCGAAGCAGATCTGGTTAACCCTTAGACCCCAGACACATGTTCCCTCAGGCTTGGAAGGAAGTGATCTTTCTCGGGTTCTGCGCACGGCAGGTGCTTGATCAACGGCGTTGACCTGACCTCCCTTCTCCAGTGTCTGACAGCACTCTGCCTGAACTCTCCTTGGTACCTCCCTTCCTCCTCTTCCTACCGTGACCCTCCCCCGTGTAACCTCCTGCAGAGCACGGCCTGTGGCATGCCTCCTTCTGCATCCTAAGAAATGAACAGAGAACCTCCAAGAGTAAACAATTTTTGACCTGCTGTTGTAACCGCAAAGTATGACAAGAACTACAGAGGATTTGGGGCACAAGAATGTAAGCTCCCTGGGGGCAGGGACTTAGCACTTAGTACAGTGTCTGGCACATGGGAAGACTGTAATGGTTGATCTCTATCTTAGCTCTGTTACTACTACGTGACCTTAGGTAAGTTATTGTGTCATTGGGGCCTCAGTTTCCCCTTCTGTACAATGAGGTGGGCTGGACCTGATGATCTCTGTACTCAAACTCAATACGCGTCCAGCTGAGGACTGCTAGAGCCTGGGTTCTGCCGCCCAGTCTTCAAGAGCCCAGGGTCACTCACCAGCCCTAAGGCATCTGAGCAGGACCTTAGAGGAGGTAAACAGATGCAACAATTTATTTTTTGATGGTGGAGGAGACAATAGGGAGGAGGAAATACTCACTGTAGAGTCACTTTTTACAAAAGACGTTGCCTTAAAATTCCTTTTAGAAGTAAGCTTCACTAAATTAAAGTTCTGATCTGAGCTACAAAAATTCAATCCCATGTGCCTTTTCAGGAATCTATTCACTGTGTGAACAAGGGCTCTGTAAACTATCCTCTACTCCAGGATACTCAAAAATACTCATAAATACTTGGAGGTAAAAAACAGGTGCCTGTCCACACCAAGTTTCCAAGTCAGACCTAATGGTGCAGATGTAACCAGCAGAAGCCTTCACAAACCAATTTGATTAAAAGCTCAAAGGTTCAGCTGGGTTACCCAGGCAACTAGGCCCACAGCAATGAGTGAAGCTGCTAGGTCATTTGTAGAGCCCAACCTACTCAAGAACGTTATTGATCGCTGTTGTTCCATTTAAAACCATGTTACAACAGAATCACACATCTCCGGCCCCGCCACATTCCGGTCTGAGTTACCTGAATCTCTTTCTGAGGTTAAAGAGGGCCAAACAGGAGGGTAGTGCTAATAAGAGTATGGGAGAAAGACGCCAAGGTGGATAAAATGAGGGGTGGAAACAGTAACACCTGTGAGGGAAACTGTAGAGAGAGGTAGAGAACATGGGACCAGGCGCCAATGTCAGGGCTCAGGAAAGCTTTCCTGCTTCCTCGTAACTGGATCAGACTCAATCCCTAGCTATCTGGCAAGGAGGTCCGACTACACTCTGCTTAAAGTGAAATGTCATTAATTCAGACCCCATTAATTTGGTTAGATGATTCTTCACTATGTGGAAAAAACAAAAAATATGATTAGCAAAGCAAAGGGAGTGTCAAGAAGATGCCAGAGCAGTCATTTCAGAGAACAGAAAATTCCTCTGTGCATTTGTTTACAAACACCTGCTCTCTCTAGATCCCCAGAGACAGAGAAAGACCTCAGCCTGAATCCTGCCTTCCACAGGCTTCGTGGGAGCCAGGGCACTCTCAGATCCCATTTCCTCATTTGTAATAAAGGAATAAGAGCACCTACATCTCAAGGGTGTTGAGCAGCAAATGACAGAAAGTGGATAAAGTGCTTTGCAAACCTTAAAGTGTAGTATAAATTTAAGTTCCACTAGAAAAACCTGACAATCATTTTTTAGCCCAAGTCAAGCTAATAAATGTGCCTATGCTTGAAAGTAAATAAAACTGCATTTTAAAAATATTATTCAATTGAGAATTTTCACTAGTTCTGTTCAGTGGACTTGGAGTCAGGAAAACTGAGCTTTAGTCCTGGCTCCAACACTTCTGCCAACCATTCAACTTTAGGCAAGTCATCTCCCACCTCCGAGCCTCAGCTTGCTCATCTGTAAAAGGAGGGCGCATTAGATCAGATACACTCTACGGATCTGGTCTGTCTGAAGGTTTTATTGAACACAGAACTCAGGAACACGTGTGTTCATTTGTATGTCCATCCAAGTTAAGTAGGACTGTTTCCTTCCAATTTCAGCACATCAGTAAAGCTTACCTGGGACAGATGTATTATTCAAGATTCCAGAGAAAGTGGCATCGAAACACTCTGGAGACATGGCCAATGTATCATTAAGCAACAGCTGGGTTAATTATAAGGCTAAATGGGGTGCTTAATGCATCCAAAATAAGATTTAGAACTAGATAGTTCTCAATGGAGTTGGAAGCAGTTTCTACCTAAATGCTACGTTTGTTGAAGGCATTATTACTCAGGTCTCTATAGACTAGAAAGATATGGAATGATCAAATGATACAGTTCACTTTCCTCTGATCCTTCATCCCACCAAAACCAGAGGCAGCCTAATACAGGGGAGAGAGAACAGCGTTTGGGAAGTCTGGACACCTGTATAGCCATGGGCAAGTCACTTCCCCCTTCTCCGAGCCTCAGATTCATCGTCCATAAAATAAGGACCTTTCCAACCCCAATACTCTAGGAATCTATTTCTAAAGTAGTTTAAGGGTAATTAAGTTTACTAATTATGGACAAATTTTAAAAAAAACACAAAATCAGGACCAAGCACTATATGTAACACAGAACTGCACGCTTACTAAGGACCTAAATTAGGTTTCTAGAATATTTTTCAAGGTACAAAGTGAGAACCAAAAATAATCTTTAAGATCAGTTAAAAGTAACACATATGTAGTAACTAATATTCAACACTTAGATCTACTATGGAACTGAATTCAGCTTTAAAAGATATATATAGATATCACAAAGACTTCTCTTTGTAAACAAAGGTAATTAAATAATTAAGAAGCAATGCAAATTAGAAAGCAAATTTTTTTTTTTGCTTTTTATTGAGGCAATCAGGGTTAAGTGACTTGCCCAGGGTCACACAGCTTGTAAGTATCAAGTGTCTGAGGCCAGATTTGAATCCAGGTCTAAGGCTGGAGCTCTATCCACTGTGCCACCTACCTGCCCCAGAAAGCATTTCTATAGGAAATTTTCTTTCCCACCAAAGAAAAGTCACGTGCAGTGTAACTCCTACTTACTCAAGTCATCAGATTTGTCTTCTGTTCCTGAAATGCTATTACCAGAGTCACTAGTATTATCTGTACAGGTTTTTAGTTTCGGAGAGCCTGGTGCAGTTTCTAAAGCTGACTTCCCTTTTTGTACAGTAGGTAAAGTTTCTTTATTCACATCCTTCTCAGAAGCAGAGGTGCTTGGAACATCCTCTTCGACCTGCTCAGCTCTCACTGGCTTCACGCCTTCTCCAGTCACCAGTGGTCCTGGTGACTTTTTTGCTTTGCAATGACTTTGATCCTGAAGGACAGATCCCAAGTTTTTTGTGCCTGGGACAGATCCCAAGTCTTTCGTGCCTGGGACAGATCCCAAGTCTTTCGTGCCTGGGACAGATCCCAAGTCTTTCGTGCCTGGGACAGTAGAGGTATTTACCTTACATGATTTAAGTTCTATTTTTTCTGTACAAACATCATTTTGTTTATTTTTTTTATTACTGTTCCCACTTGGAGAACTTCTTCCAATGTCCCTTACGACCCTATCATTTCTAGGTCTCAAATTCTGATTGGCTGACGCTCTAGGAGCTTTGCTTTCTTCACAAACAACCCGAGTAGACTTCCTTGGTTCATGATTTCCATTTTTAGAGCTTGTGGACTCTTCCATTATTATGAAGACCTGCTTCTTTTCTCTTGAGATACCTTAAAAAAGATGATCTCCAGTAATCTGAGTGTCTTTCAGTCCAGTTTAGGCAAGCAAACTGTCTGGTGGAGAAAAGAATATTAGTTACTCAAAATGTGAAAATAACAACAACAATGATAATCATCTGATAAAAGACATAGTGAAGCTTCCTAACCTGAAAAATGCCAAAACCCAGAAACTAATAATTTCACAAGGAATTAAATCACACTAATAATACAACAGACTGGACAGGTACCCAATGAGGAGGTTCTAATGATATTATGGTAACCATGACATCAAAACAACAAGGGAATTTTAGAAGAGCAGAATTTAATTACTCAATAAAATTTCAACCAACATAAGGTTGAAAACAGTAATAGAATCTTTAGAGTTAACATGTAAAAACAAGGAAGGCGTGGAACCTAGGAATTCTGAGTTTGCTGGGCCACATATATCAACATGTCTTATGTGATACTAACCAGGTAATCCTTTTATATATGACCTTCTTACTAAGTACTTCCTATTTCTACTGCTAATTTTTGCTTTTTCTTCACACTTGACTCTTTAAACATAGAAAAATACTTTTGCATAGACTTTTTCTGTACTTCTGGAAGTATGAGTAGCTTAAATTAATCATTCTGTGAAAAGATAAATGAAAAGTGAACAAAACCACAACATTACCAAAAAATGACAGAAGCATTAATAAAGTCAAGCCAAGAGAACTCACTTAGTCCTAGGGATATAATGGATATTGTCATCCCAGAGGAGGAACAATGTATCTGCCACAAAACTCAAATGTTTAACAAGTAGGAAATGGACTCACAATTTTACTGCTAATTGATTTCTACATTTCAAACGCATACACCTATGCTAAACTTTAGAAACACCAGGATTTTTCATTCTTCAGCTTGCTATAAAATAAAATACCCAAATCCAGATCGGTTCACATAGCATTTTTAAAAAAATCTACTTCACAAAGATTAATATCAAACCAAAAAAAACCACCTTTTTTTTCCAGGTGAAAACAAACTCTGTTGAATTCCAATATGAACCTCTGTACTATTGTTCACTAAGTTCCACAATCTATTAGTCACAAATCTGTAAATTCAGGAATGCTGACTCAGATAAAGTGTGTCAGGAGCTGTGCACTGCGGAGGATTTCATCGAGAATTTACTGTGCTGGGTCCAGTGTGCCCAAAACAAAATGTTTCAATAAAAATAATGTATATTTTAATGGTAACTTAGAGTAAAAAAAAGTTTACCTAAAATGAGAAATTCAACCCTCCTTTCCTGAGCACAAGGCCTTGTGCTAGTGGCTACAATGTAGAATACTAAGATACCCTCCTTTGGTAGGTATTTCTAATGGGTGACCCAGGCATTTTTCTTTAAGATTCCCTTTTCCTCTGGTCACTAGGGGGCTGCAGGGAAGGCAGGTAACCTCCAAGCTCACCTTCCAAGCCAGAAGGAGCCTTCACTAGAAGACCAGAAATGAGTTCTCCTCTCCATGGAGGCAGCCCGCAGCCCCCGCTGCTCAATTCTTTCCATGCTCTTCTCTGGGTTCGCCACCGGGGGTCTATCCAGGGGCTGAGGAGGCCCTCCTCAATTTTTCCTGACATTAGAATGTACCAGGGAGTCACCTATCCACCTATCCATCCATTCACACAGGCTGCCGGACTACTAACTCTTACTCTGGCCACCTTTTTCACTACCTCCCCCCTTTATCTTGGCTCCTCCTCGTTCCTAAGGGATGCACAGCACACAGCCTACTCACACTTACCCTATGCTTCTCCATTTGCCTCTGAATCACATTCTTTCTTAATTCTTTTGAGAATCTATTGCTCTATGATTTGCAGCCACACACCACCAGTAGAGCACTGGCAAAAAGATAAAGCCTTTGTTTCTGGGAGAATTTTTAAGGTCATTAAAAGAGTCCTGTAATTTCCCCAAGAAATTCAGCACACTCTCCCTTCCTCCTGTTTAATTTCAGCCCCTATTCATTGTCTACTTGCAATGTCTGTACAAGATACGCACCCACAGATGAGGAGGTCTACAGGTAGTCCAACTGCACATCAATCTGGAAAATGGACATTCTTCTTCCCCTTCTTTTCAGTTTGGTCAGTATAGTTTCCACTCCGCAAGTTTAGGGGCTGGATGGAACCAGCACTAACCAGAGTATCTGGAAGACCTCACCACCCATAGAGAATGCCTCTTCTCCTTAGCACTGTGCACAAGATCAGCACAATAGGAGTGTATGACACTAGTGGGCTTGTCTCGCTGTTTTATGTTTCACCTGACATTAATGATTAGAGGGAGAAGCTCTTTGAGAGGAGGGACTGCTTCATTTTTTTGGTCTTTGTACCCCTAGCACCCAGCACAGAGATCGGCACCTGGAGGTGCTTAATAAATACTTGCTGATTATCTTCAAGGAATCTTAAGTAATTTGGATGGATGGATGGATGGGTGATCCCTTACTGGAAGAGCATCTGGAGTAGCATTTTGCTCTGATGTAATGAGGTGTGCTTTAAACAAAGTCAACAAACAAAAAGCATAGTAGGCTCTTCTCTATACCTTTCATTAGGCTGTTAAATGGTAAAATGTAGTTTACGGTAGACTACCCCCCCTTCACAAGAGTCTGCCCATTCTGAACACCCTCACTGAAGAGGTCACAGATTCACCTGTAGATTATTCTCATAAAAAGTCTACACAGATAGGGAAGGAGGTATCTATTTATATACACTTGTCTCCCCGGACAGAACTAAGCCTCTTGAGAGTAGAAATGACTTCATTCTTTGTCTTTGTAGCACCAGAAGCCTGCACAGTGCCTAGCACATGTTAATAAATGGTTTAATAAATGGTGGTTAATAAAGGTTTGCCTGGCTGAGTGATACAGTTGGCCTTTTCTGGATATTTATAAGATCTGAGAATTTTCCATACCTTTGTTTTCTTTCCCTCCTTCAGATACTTTCAAATTAATCCCTCAATATCATTGCAATCACATTCATCTAATAAAATTTAAAACTGCTTTTAAATTTTTTTATGGAATCTCACTTAATAATAGTATTATCGTTATTATAATTGTCTGGGCTGCACCCAGGAGGAATCTAAATACCTTTTATGCCTCTTAAGGAGACATGGAATTCCCCTGACGAGGTTTTTTTCTTTGACATTAAAGTTAGCAAAATGTCTTTGTTTTGGTATTATTGAAATAGGTGTGAGGTACCTTACCCTGGGCAGTCTGGCTCCAAGGACACCAAACTGAGGATGACTGCTAGCTGGGCTTCCCTTGGACTTGGCCTTTAAAAAGGGCCGACCGGAGCTGCAGAAAAGACACAGAGATAGGTTGGCCTATCGATACATTGGATTCCAGATGCCATTCCGTCCCCTATAAGGAAAGCCTGCCCATCTATAAGACCCCTCAAAGGAGAGAGGCCCTGAGATGGTGGCACCAGGGGGACTGAGGACTTCCTTGGTTACTGCAAGAGCTCGAGCCAGCAGCAGTGAGTAAGTGCCATGCTTCTCGGATGCAGAGAAAGAGTTACTGGACAAAGAGTTAGGGGCAAGGAAGAGCAAGAAGCAGCCACCAAGTAGAGGAGTCAAACCGAACGCTGCTTTTCACTGGTACTGTGAGCTCTGTGAACTGGGCAGGTTCCGGGAAGCAATCCTAAGTAATTCTCCTATGGCTCAAAGGGGATGCGGGGCTCACATCTAGATCACCCCCAAGAAGTAGAGTCCTCAGGTGCTAGGCAAGCACTGAGTCTAAGAAAACAATGTCAGGCAGGCTTCATTTCACCCATCAAGAAAATATGAAGGACTGACTTCAGTCTCTTTATTAACAGTCAAGACAACAATAACTGTTCTTCCCTCTCTGGTGAGTCAACTCTATTGTGGACATATACAATCCACCTCAGCTACTTCCTCCTTGAGTGGCCTGGGGGCTGGCAGAGTTGGGAGAGAACAGCAAAGTTCAAATAAAAGGGCAGCCTAAGTAGAGAAGACCTTTGGGCTGCTGGGGGAGGTAGGGGGACTTACCAGAGAGGGAAAGGGAGGTTCCTCCATTGTCAGTGGGCGTAAGTATGAATCCTTTTGTTTGCTATAGGGTGAAATAAACCTTATCAATGTTTTATTAGCTGGAGTTCTTGAGTGGGAACTAAGGACTGTACCATTTAGAGACCTGGATATAAGTAAAATTCTGATGCTTTCAGGGGAAAAAACTGATGGGGACAAGAGTCACCAAATCATGGAATTTGAGAGCTGCAAGACACCTCCAAAGACTATCAAGCCCTACACAAAAAGGAATCACCACTATAGCATGCCTGGCAAGTGGCTGTCCGGCCACCGCTTGAGGACCTCCAAGGCTAAGGAGCCTAGCTCTTGGGGCAGGAGTTCCTCTGTGGGACAGCTCATCCTGACATGAAGCCTAAAGTGGTCTCTCTCTGACTTCCACTCACTGCCTCTGGTTCTGCCCCCAGGGCCAAAGAAAGCAAGTCTGATCAGCCCACTACAATAGTGCTCTTCAAAGACATAAGAAAAGTGATCACAGCTCAATACACCAAAGTCCTTCAACAGATCCTCACATGTCACTAACTCAAGACCCTTCAAGCATCCTGGCCATCCTTCAGCTTATCAACGCCGTGGAACCATGGTGCTCAAACTGAACATAATACCGGAGTTAAGGGCTGATGAGGGCAGAGCACTTATTCTACTGGCTACCTCGAGAAAAGGGAGGTAGAGGAAGTGTGGGAGGATCGGGTAACCTATGTCAGAAGCTAAGGAGAAATGGGCAACATTTGGGAGAAACTGAGGAAAATATGAAGGAGAACGATCTCCAGGCTTAGAATAATGGCCTGGATTCTACTTTGGGGTTAAGAAGAGGATAATGGATAATTAAGGAGGATATGAAAAGACTAAGGACAGTTAAGGAGGATTAGGAAAGGCTGGAGAAAGATAAGAAGGTAGCTGGCAACACAAGGCAAAGGAAGAGAAGAAAACCTAAGTGGAACAAATAGAAGGCTATGTACACCGACAGAGTGTGTGGGGTGAGGGAGGTGAAGCAAACTGGAGGTGATTTTTTTTTAATTAGGTACTTGGTGGATAAACATCTACAAGTAATTTTAAGAGACTAAAAATCTCAACCTCTATAGAAAATTGGGGAAGTTGTAATTCTGTTAGTCAAGTGATTGTTTTCTGTGTTCCAAGTTCAGTCTGATCTCCCTCCTGAGAGATGAAGGGTTCTTAAAGGTATAAACAGAAACAAGGCTTCGATTGGGGGGGGGGGAGAAAGTTTTGATTAAAGTGAAGGAGGTGGGACAACCCCTGTCAGGACAGGATAACAGAGAATGGAAAAGTATGACAACAGAGAAAGAAAAGGGCAGCTGTGCAATTAGAACTTAAAAAGAGACTGGAGGCTCTTCCTGAAGAAAGAGTGGGCTGTTTTAAGGAAGAAGCTGCTAGTCTTCCCAAGAATGACACAGGAGAGCCAGAGAAACTACGGAGTAAAATTCTCCTGTAAGAGACTGAGGAGGAGCAGCTAGGTGGCACAGTGGATAGAGCACAGCCTTGGAGTCAGGAGGACTTGAGTTCAAATCTGGCCTCAGACACTTGACACTTACTAGCTGTGTGACCCTGGGCAAATCACTTGTCTCACCCCGCCCCCAATAAATAAATAAAAAGAGACTGAGGAAAGAGCACAGTAGCAGTGAAGGTTTCTTTGTGTGAAGAAATCCAGGAACCAGAATGGGAAAACATTTGGGAAGAATGTCAAAGGTGAGACAGAAGTGAAAGGAGATTCTCTCATGGAGTTTACTAGAGACTACTGGTACAGAAAGAGGAAGTTGATGAAGAGGTTAGAAATTGAGGCTCCAAGGAGATCCTAGGGCTCTGCTTCCTAAAGCAGAAAGATCTGTAGACCTCCACTACACTGATCACAAATGTGTCTTCCAGTTCTCAGCTGTTACAACAATGTGATCAATTGGTATAAGAAATAAATGCATCATTAAGTAGCTAATTAACTTTTTTTTTAATGATGAAGAAAGCAGAGAATTCAAGGCAATTGAATAAATCAATCAACAAAGAGGGCAGAACAAACGGACAGGATCTGGAATGCATTCAGTTCCTTTCCCAGGGAGAAACATCTCCATGTTGGTCCATTTCCACCTCCTCTTGCTGAGCTCTCCATGACAGACCACACGGTGGAAGAGCAGCGGTCCAGAAGCTGCTCTAGCTCATCAGCATCAGGCCATAGGGAGGGGTGAGAATTTACACTCTGAGAAGCTCCTGTCCTAGTTCCTTCCTATAACCATATCACTGTTAATGTTCTGTTAAGATCAAATGGACCTCAGCCTTAACGTGCTTAAAATTCCCTTATTTCACTTGTGAAATCACAAAAAAAAGTAGTTTCTTTACCCTTGGCATCAGAATTTTAGAGCTGAAAAAGATCTTTGAGATAAGCTAGACAAACTCCCTTATTTTTCCAGGTAAGAAAACTGAGTCCTGGAGAAGCTGTGACAAGAAGATATTCATAAATACCCCATAAAATATGGCAAGAGTCCCAGATGGTTTTGAGGAGAGGAATTACTTCCTTTTAATAGAAGTGGAGAAGTACAGGACATGGTGCTTCCAGCCATATCCCCACTTGCTACTGGAAATGCCCACTGCAGTAGGAATCACCTGAAGCACAGCAGAAACTACTTGTTACACAGGGCCGGGCTGGATTACCCAGCTGGGGACCACTGAACTATGACATTTCCTGAAGTTGCTACAAAGCCATTCCAAATGTCACAATGGTAACAATGACTTGTGATAACCGATGGCAAGACAGTATTTTCAAATAATGTAGATCACTCCTAGAATTAAAATTAACTTCCCTTTCTTAACTGTGGCATCTACTGGATTATCAACCGAACGATTTAAATCATTTCTGAAGCCTTCAAAAATCAGGGAACTTAAGTACAGTAATGGTCACGTGTAACCTAAACTAGAAGGTCCCGAGGCCAGCAAAAGGGACTGAATTTCCATTCTTGTCCTTCGACTTCCCCACACACCCTCTTACCTCTGCCCCTGAGGGGCTGGCTAAATATCCTACTGTTGTTAATTCAGTTAAAAGAGCTCTGGATTTGGAGTAGGGACCTCTGTTAGAATCCTAATTCTGTTAGTGGGATTCAAACCCAGGTCTTGGGACTCCCAAAGTGGTAGTCGTTGACAGGGTAGCTTGGGGTTAGTCAGTCATCATCTCTCTGAGCCCTGGTCTCCTCATCTGAGGAGGGGGTTTGGATTAGATGACCTATAATATTCCTTACGGCTATAAATCTATGGTCCTGGGATCCTAGCAGCTGGCAATACAAGGTGATCAATAAAAACTTTTCAGTTATAAGAAAATCTAGGTAGTTGACAGATGTCTTAAGACCCATCCCTTCCTATAGTCTTTATTTAAGTTAGAGATGCAGGCAGAAATAGATATTGTTAGAATAAAAGTTTGATCAGCCCATTGTAGAAAATGTTCTTAAGTTCAAAGAGCAACAACCCACAGTTCTCCACTGGGTGACTTCCTGATTTAGTGACCTTCCAGAGTTGATGTGCTGGGAATCTAAGCACTGGAGGCCCTGCTTGGTCCAGGCAAGTTGAGAAGGCTTAGCTGAAGCAGTGTTGTGTGTAAATAATGTTTTATGGGGCCTCAAAGTTCTGCTTTAGAGCCAGCCAACAAGACTAGGATCTTAATCATATGGGGTAGTGGCTGACCAAGTAAGTAATTGCCCTGTGAGCCAGACCAGGAAGTCACACTAACCTATATGGGGTGGCCCCTCTAGTTCTGTTAATTCAACAGGAGAAGACTGCAAAAAGTCTGACTTCTAAGACCCACAAAACATTAGACTGACATAAAGCATCCATTCTGGCTAAGCCCTTAAAATTCATAAGAACAAGTAAACCACCAAGGCAGAATAACTTACTGACACTTGATAAATGTTTGTGGAAATGAACTGAATAAATCAGGAAGTCCCGGGAGTCTTTGCTAACGTCCTGTTGTTGCTTTAATTCAACAAGTTATAAAAAAATTATAAAAAACTCCTCATGGTACATAAGGAAGAACAATGCATTTACATATAACATTACCCTACTGGCTAAGCAAAATGGTCCAAATAGCCAGAGGTCCAAATATCTTCACATAATGAAATGTTTCCATGCATTATTAATGAACAGAGATCACTAACATGTTTAATAAATCTTAAAACCGGACATAAGCCTACTGGTTATTTGTTATACTTCAATAATATGCAAGAGGCTAAACTTAACCTACCCTAATGTTTAATGGACAAAAATATG